TATAAAAAAAGTATATATAAAGTCGTACACATGACTTCCTGCCATCATAGGTCGCCATATTGGAAATTAATTATAAATAAAAACTCACACAAATCTGAGAACAACAAAAGTCGTTTTGCCCAGTAATTTTCCAAGGAAATCGCCACACAACGCACCCCCCACCCCGCCACCCATTGCCCCAGAGGCAGAGAGACACGTGCACCATCTCCTCTCCAAAAAGGCATCGAAATGCATCTGCAAACAGTGGGTTTACTTTTGGGAGGAACAATGGATGGAAACCGCAATAACAAATACCGCAAAAAACAAAACCAAAAAACCAACCAAAGAACAAACATCGACAGACAGTCACATACATTAAACATTAACCAGAACATGAAACAAATTGTGGTATAAAAGGAATTTTTGTGAAATTCCGAAAGACAAACAAACGTACAAAAAGACAAGATACAAGACACAACACACAGACAACACAGTACACACGGTGTTTGTCTTAATTGTTAATTGCTCTGAGTCGTCCCCTGTCCCGTGACCCTCTTCCGATCCCGATCCCAGTTTCAGTTTCAGTTCCAGTTCCAGTCATGCGCCAAAGTCTAGGAAAGAGACCGCACCTACTCCCATACCAAATATAAAGTAAATATAGAAAGACGACGGACGGCACGGCACATCTCCACACATCCCATCCACAAGGCACTCCTCGTGGTCTCGTAGTCGTAATTCTGTATCAGCGCGTGTCGTCTGGAGGACTGGGAGTACCTGTTGTATCTCTGTCTACCTGTCCCAAACACTTACTCCCAATGTAATGTGTGTTTGACAGGATATACCCACGACCCCTGGCCCTGTCCCTGGCCCTGGCCCTGGCTCCGACCCGATCCCAGACAGACACTGCAGTCATGGACTTGCATTGTTCTGCTTATATGGAACTTTAATTGCCTCACTGTCCCTCTGGCTGTCCACTCACTTTCACTCTCTTCTTTCCCTATAAAAATTAATGAGTTTACGATAGAACTCCTTTTGGTTCTTCCATTCATAAATTCGGTTTCTAGTTTGGGAAATTCCCAGCCTAGTGATTTATTTTGGCATGAATGGACGGTAGTGCTCTACTTTTTTCATCTATTTTGGATTGGTTTTTAATGTGGAAATTCCATTTGTCTGATTGAGTCACCATATACTATCCATACGGGTAGAAGAGTATGGAAATTAGAATACAGAAAAGGAATCTTTGTAGGGTTTCCATATATCTTGGTTGAAATTTCTGGTGATCTATACCAAATTGCGATCCGTGTATAGAGCTTATAGAGCTTAAAGAAGGGTAGGAATAAAAGATGTGGTGGGTTCAAACCCCCATTAAAATTCTACAATGGAATTGTAGAATACATATAGTACACTCCGTATTTTTCCCAGAAGGCCCTTAATTTTACTCTGGGGACACTTACCAAATGGACCAGACGGTGTCTCATCGTATACCCCAGTTCAATGGGGAATACTTTTGGTTCCAGCCGCTAGAGATGCGATCCATGGGATAACGAGAGAGAGAGAGAGCTCGCCGTTTAGGTGCAGAAATTCGTGGGTGTAGATCCGCGTCATTATGAGGGGCGTTTGACACACATGTGGCTTACATCGATCGGAATGATGACCGAACCTTCGGGGCATCGGCAACGGCATCTGGCAACACACACACACACACACACACACTATAACACGCGCGTAAGCAACCGTTAAATTTCGATGATTGCCAGGGAATCGCCCCTGAAATCTGGAATCTGGGACCGACTATGTGTGTGTGCGTGTAGTTGGGGGGGCGTTGACACAACCAAATGAAAGTGTCACACAGATCACAACTCTTTCTGAGGAGGAGGGAGGAGGACTATCCTGAGGTAGGAGTGGGCGTCGCTTCGGGACACACGGGGGGATTCCCTGCCAGGCGGCGGCGCCTCCTCAGACCCGGACCCGGACCCGGAACCGGCTTTTGTGTTGGTTAAACTCCCGTCACGTTTGTGGTTAAACATATTTAAAGGATTTTCCATGCGCCGGCGCAACTTTCCTTACAATTTTTTCACATTAAATGAGTTTTTCTCTTTCTGCCCACAGATAGCGGAAAGAGATCCGAACGTGATTATCAGGCGGCACAGCCCACGGAAACAGAGCAGTCCCGGACCCGGACCCGGACCCGCATCCGATCCGATCCGCGCTCCGACCTACTACTACAACTTTTCAAATGCTACTCGTGAGAGTAGCCCCAGCCGCCCAAAGCAGCAAAATACGAGTAAAAATACTCTTGATTAAAACTTATCAGACCACATTTCATATCACCTTTTCAACAACAAAAACAACAACAGAAGCGGCAACGGCAGCCACAGCGGCAAAGTAACGATTATACTTATTATCGGCCGCCTGTCCGTCCGGAGGGGGAGCGGGAACACTCATTGCGCGCCGTGTACTCTGGCTGTAGTTTTGTCCCTCCGTCCGCTGATTGGAAGCCCGTTCCAAGATATGGCTATCTCAGAGCCAGCCACAGGCCGCGGCCGAGGCACCGACACCGTCACCGGAACATCCAGTAGCCAAGCAGCCCCACTGACGCCACTGAAAGCCAGTGGCTAGATAGAGAGAGAGAGAGAGAGCCCAGGGAGCGATACCAAAAAAAAACCGATTTGATTAAAAGTTGCATCACGCGACAGTCGCGCGACTATCCTTATCGGGGGGAGACACTCCGACACTACCCGAACACTGTCTGTGTCACTGTGGTGTCCTTATCAACAATCCAGTAATAGTGCCAGTGTGTGTTTCCACAACGACCTGATTAAAACTATCATCAGGCAGTGGTCCAATCCAAATCTAAAGTCGACTCGAAAGATCATTTACTGAAAAAAAGGGTAGACGAATTTGTAATAACAAATGGATTTGCATGTCGATATTACAGCCAGCAATTCCAGAGATGTTTCAGTGATCTTCCAGAAGGAAATAATATAAGAAGGATTTCCATACATATGTAAGAAATGAATTCAATGCCAATTTTGCAGTTCACTCTAAGCTAATCGAGGATAAAAATCCTACCACAAAACTACAAAATTTCCTATTTGTACACCCCATAATTGAAAATTCCTAAGAGTTTCGCAAGAATTTCGCACGAATATCGCTTCAATCTAAAAATACAAAAACCCGCTTCATATTGTACATTCTTTTCAGATAATGCCAGATAATGCTGGCCCTTCTGTTTTGGGCTGATAACTAAGCCAAGCAGCACACGACCTTGCCTATCTATATTTTTTTACTGACTCACATTCCGACGTACTCCCCCTTTGCCCCGCCAGTGTTTTTAGCGATAAAGTTATCCAGCAACAGAACCATATCAACCAGGCAACAAGGAAATGCCATGGTGTCTGGGTCCGTTCAAAAACCTAAAAAAAAGTAGGTATATACAAACGATAAAAAACCAAAAACCGAAACAAAAAAAGTGTCAAGAAATTCCAATAAAATACTGAAAATGCCGGTTCTTGTGACGTCATGCGGATTTGATAAGAGCAAAAAAAATACAAAAGAATAATAGAATAAACAGAGAAGAAAAACATATTGCAAACATTGATAAAAACACACAAACGAGGGAGGGGTGGGAACAATACGATACGATAAGGAGGTAAATGTAAACAACCTGAAAACGGAGTGAAACAACTTTAAGCAGGCGCCAGAGCATGGGATCAACAGAAAGAGATTGGGAGAGGGGAAGTAGTAGTAGAAACCCGATAAAGATATATGTATGTAAGGCCCTGCGGGTGACGACGACGACGACGACGACGGGTGCGGGTGTCGCCTATCAGTAGCAGTAGCTCTCTCTGGGTAAAAGTCCGGAAGATGCATTGTATTCCAAAAGATAAGCCCCAGAGTTGAAGTTGGACCGACTTTATCAGCCCTTGGGCTCCGCTTTCGCTTTGGTTCGACTTTGGTTTTATTTTGTTTGTGGCCATTTAAATACAACATATTAATGGCTATTTAAAAGGAATAATATAATGAGAAAGGAATCGCATAAAGAAGGGGTAAAAGATAAGCCTATCCTGCCTTGGGACTCTAAGAAAATTGAAATGCAGCCAGGCTCAATTGTGGATGGATCGTACACATAAATAATCTATGCCATGGATGGATGCTATATGCTATATGCTGGATCCATAATCCATAGCCACATCATCGTGACGGAGCACACAGATAAGAGAAGCGGAGAAGCGAACAAAAATTGAAAATATTATGTGTCTGTTGTGTGGCAAGAGGTCAAACTATAAGTATTTACTAGCTCCGCGGATGAGAGAGGACGGGATGGGAGGAGGCACCATTCTAATGGGGTAGGATGTCACCAGTGATAACCCCATCCTACTGTCAAGGTACTGGGTTCACATGTTGGACAGACAGACAGGGAACAACCCAATATTATGTTCATTCCATTTCGAAAACAAAATCGATTTCTGACAATCAGATTGTATGATGTATGATATGTGAAGATCACTTAGACAATACCTTTTAAATGCCATCGACTTGATAAGACCGAAAATTTTGAGAGAAAGAAACGAGGGATAAATATTTACTGGGAAAACTACTACGAGTATTCACTCAAATAATAAATCTGTTTAGCAAACATTTGTATGGGCAGGTCTGATAAGGTTGACGACACCTACAAATATATGACGTTTTAATGTTCTATCAATCTCCCATTAAAGAAAAAATAATTTCAAACGATAAATGAATACATTTTCTACAATATTGCTTAATTGTGAAAAGATAAACTATTCTTGAATTGTTTTAAAAAAATGTTTAAATAAAGGTCTAAAATTTGAACAACAAAAATGGTTCTGCCACATGAAATCTACACAAGAGTTAGCGGCATCTGTTGGTGATTACATGGACTCGCTTTGAGACAAAGCAGTCAGAGTTATCGGTTATCGCTCATCGCAATCGCATTAAGGTGTTTACAACCACCTCAACAAACCAACAACGATTTGAATTTAAAGAATAGATAAGGAAGATAAGCGCCCTTACTAAAGACTGGCAGAGAATTTTCCACATCGGTAGTACAACAGAGCAGCAGACCATGTCAAAAAGCGATGATTTTATATTCCGGCGTGCCCAAGTGGAGGACATCAAAGATGTCTTAGCCATGATCCAGGTGGGAATCAATTGGATTTAATTTATCAACTCTTATGAAACACTTTTTCAAATAATCTTCAGGAACTGGCGGACTTTGAGAAGATGAGCAATGGCCCACAGCTGACTGAGGCTGGTAAGGTATTCGTATATCTTTTAAAACAACGATCACTCTACCAAAAGTCAATTCTTCCAACAGATCTCATACGTGATGCAGGACTCTCAGGTGAACAGGAATACTGTGAAGTCTATGTGCTCATAGACAATGCCAACAAGTGAGTAAAGTAAACCCAAGAGATGCGATAAGCATTCAAAATTAGGCAAAAGCAAACACGAAATCTGTTAGACTCTGGCAAACATTTCCCCCCTCCCTTCAAAATTTGATAATTTCTGTTTATTTGCTTTCCCAGCCTGGCCATTGGCTATTCCATTTGCTACAAGGCATACTCCACCTGGCAGGGACGCTATTTCTTCGTGGAGGACATCTACGTGAAGCCGGAGCACCGCAAGCGCGGCGCTGGCAAGCGCATCTTCCTCGAGGTCTCTGCGCGGGCCGTGGAGCTGAAGTGTCCTCGGTTGGAGTTCAATGTGCTCGAGTGGAATCCCGCTCGCAAATTCTACGAGAGCTTGGGCGCCGTAGATTTGACCGCTCGAGAGGGCTGGCACTACTACCGCGTGGAGCAGCAGCAGCTGGCCAAACTGGCCAACGATTTGTCTTAGTTTTATGTTGTTTTTGGAGTTTTTTTACTTTTATAATACATATAAATAATAATACTCTATGGCCTGGGGCATAGATGCTATAGAAATATCCATAATTTACAGATTCTCCGCCACGCTGGCAATCACATGGATCTGCATGCTCTTCGTGGAATTGTACACCTGTCCGGGTGGAAAGGGATGCACCTTGGAGTGGGCATCGGTTTTGCTCTTGCCACCCGCCGTGTATTTGGACAGACGTATGCTGGGCATGGGCAGGAAGCCAGTGCTCAAGGGCATCACATCCAGGGATATGGAATGGCTGTCCACGTCTTTCATGGAGACGACACCTAAAAGGATTTAGGGAGGATTAGCCCGAAAATATATATAGTGTTTAAATCTACAGAAAGCACAATTTAGTGGTTAATAGAAAGCCTAGAATTTACTACATTGGTTTTTAAATGGGATGGAATCTAGCCCAAGTTGGGAGTTAGTTTTGCTAGGGATTTTTCTACGTGTGTTTCCAAGAACTTACCCATATCTTAAAGTGTGAAAACGTGTGTAGAGAAATCAGAATTAAATCATAATCATAAAAAAACGACCAAAAAGCAAACATTAGAACCACAACCGCACTCACCCGCAGAGCGACCGCAAACCGCCCAGAGATTCTGATCGTTGAGCACTTCGTACATGAGATCCGTGTAGGGATTCTCGTGCACTTTGCTGATCTTCAGATTCATGTTGCACACCGTCCGCAGGCGACACAGCTCGTTGGGCTCCAGCTGTGCCTGCAGCTTAAAGAGCGTCGTGTAGTCGACCAGATCGAAGGCACAGCCGTAGCTACGCCACACCTCGGGCTGCGTGAGCGTGGCATATTTGATCACAAAGTGCACCTTGACGATGGGCAGCTCGTGCTCTGTCTTCAGGGGTTCCACTTGGATCTCGTACAGATACGTGACTGTCAGGGATTTGTAGATTTCCTGCAAGCAAAAAAACACGTGATAGTGCATTCGACGATCACAACGATTCGCTCTTACAATCGGCTGTTGGGGCATGGGATTGAGGTCCAGCAGCTGAACGCCAGGCACATCGCACTTGACCTTGGCGTGGTGCAGCAGCAGATGCGCATCGAGTCCCTTCATTATGACCTGCAGGAACTTCTGGGTGCCGCACGTGTGCAGCCGACAAGTGGCCTCCATGGCCGGCTGGAACTCGATGGGTATCTGCAGCTCAGTGCGCGACCAGGGACAGCTCAAAGCAATGTGAAGCTCGTGATGCTTGGACACCTTCCTGCCCGGCATATCCGTGAGCACCTCCAGGGCTATGCTTCGCTCCTCGAATGACTTGAACTGGAGCAGAGGCACCTGCAGCAGACTCTCGAATGTGGCATCATCACGAGGAGGCGTATCCTTTGTATCCAAAGCCAGTCGCAGGCGTAAATTCTTGGAGCAGCGCAGCGTAATCTTGGCATCGGGCGGAAAGATGAAACTCCCGCCGGACACATTCAGGCTAATGGGCTGGACAATGCCCGCAATGAGGGTCTTGAACTCCAGCGAAGCACTGGCCGGCTTGGTGCTTATCTCAAAGCAAGGCGCCGCAAACGGCAGCTGCTCCGAGAGGAACTCCAGGCTGGACATGCTTACACAGAGCTACAAGAATAGAAGATTAATAGAGCTATCTGCAGAAGAAATCACGGAATACGAGACCTGTTTGAATTGCCAGTTGCCCACACGCGTCGCCTTGGCTTTCAGCTCAATGCAATTGACGCCCGGCTGGAGGGCTATATTCTCCGCCTGCACAAAGTTGGTAAAGTCCCCCTGGACACTTGGGGAGAGCTTCCTTTTGGTGCTGCTGGTGCGTCGCACGGGCTGCTTGCTCTTGGGCATATCACACGCCACCGAAGCGGAGTGGAGACGATTGTCCTGCTTGTAGACCAACTGCAGTTCCACCTTCAGCCGCGATGCAGACTCTTTCACCTTCGGGGCTGATGGAGTGGCTGTCAGGGACACATTTTCCATAGCCACTTCCAGGGGAGTGGCCTGCAGCTCGTAGCACAGTTTGATGGTCTCCGCCACGATCCCTCGGGGATAAAGACTCTCCACTTTGAGCTGCACCAAGACATGATCGTCCTGTATAATGGGCTTTTGGTTGAGCACTTCAATGTCCAGGATGCGAAAGTGATCCTCTAGCACACAAAAGTTGGCATTCTCCGACGATGGTTGGGCGGAGAGTGTGGTCTTGAGGGTCTTCAGAGACTTAAGAAACTCATCAAAATAGAACGTGCGCACCAGAGTCTCCAGCTCCACGCAGCACGAGATGGAGCTGCAGGTCTTCGTGTAGGCCAGAGAGTCCCCCATCTTCCGATAGCAGTTAGCCAGCTCCAGCAGCGTCTGTGAGCTCAGCATGTGCCAGTTCTCAGCCTTAAGCTCCCTCAGCAGATCCGTAAAGAAGCCCACCGCCTTGTGCGGCTCATTGAGGGAACAGTAGAAGTTTCCCAGATCCAGGCCCACCAATCGAGCCGAGCGCAGGCGTGTCACATGCTTGTACGTGCTGATTGCCAGCTCCGCCAGCTCCAGGTAGAGTTTCTGGAATGCCTGATTCGAGCCCAAGGCTTCCTTCAGCTGCTGGGCCGCCGATTTCTTGGGCTTGCGATTGGGCGAACGATCTCTGAGCTGCGGCGTGGCCTGCAGGAACTGCTGTTGCTGATCTGGCGGGGCATCGCCAATGCCCGACGACAGCTGCACGACGATGTGCAGCTGCTCGGAGGTTGGTGTACAGCCGGGCAGAAGGCCGCACAGTTTCCCCAATTCATAGAGCTTGTCCTTGGCTAGGTTCCAGATGGGGGCACAGTGCTGGAAGCAGGTGACTTCGTTCGGTTCCATGGCCTGTTCGCACAGCTGCAGCACCTCCAAAGCGCAGACAAACTCCCAGCAGCACAGGGCTCCTTCCTGGCACTCCAGTTTGATGAATTCGACCTCGCGAAGCGTGGAAAAGAGAAAGTCTAGCAATCGTTTGGCTATTTCCGGGATCTCATTGCTGGTGAGCAGCAGATAGGCCTGCCGTTCAAACAAATAGTTGCGGAATTCCAGCAGAGAGACACCCTCCTCGCGGATCTTCTCGCGCATCTCAAACTTATCCAGACGCGTCAGACAGATGCCATGGAAGGCGCTCAGCGGACGCTTGAAATGGCTGAGCCACTGTTGCTTTTCGTTGAAGCCCGTGTGCATGATGAACTGCGAGAACATGGCATCCAGTTCGTCGTACTGTATCAGCGCCTCAGTGGGCAGCTCTAGCTTCTCGAATATCAGAGCTAGATCCTCCTGCATGAAGAAGTACTGTCGGAAATCCCAGCCCTCGTGGTTGCGCTTCTCCCGCTTGCTGCGTATCAGCTCCTCATATTTGACAATATTCCGATTGTAGCTCGTGAGCATAAGGAAGCGTATGCGCTGGACCAAACAGCGAAAGGATTCCGTGGACTTTTGCTCGAATTTGGCAGGATTCAGCACTGAGATACAGCGATCATCGTTTTTGGTGCCAAAATCGAGACGTATCTTATCGAGGACTGTGGTGCGTGGCATAAAATTCTTGGTCTTGCGCATGTCCAGCGTCTCCACCAGCAGAATCATCCAGTCCGAGATGCCATAGCTGGTCAATACCTTTAGCCAGGCATCAATCTCCTCCCTAATGGTGGCCTTGTATGTGTCAACGTCCTGCAAGAGGGAGAATGGTTAAGCTTTCACTCATATTAAGGGCGTTGCCTTACATTGCATTCCGTGACAAAAATGTGCAGAATAGGATGCTCCAGAATGCTCCAGTCGCCCTGCTTGTACTTCTCCAGTGGCGCCACATTGAACTGCAGCGTCTGGGCCTCCAGGCGAACATGTTTTGTGGGGCGTTGGAAGGTCCGACGCCACTCGCAGGTGTCCAAAGGTATGGCATTCAGTATTTGCGATTCCAGCGAGCGAAAGAGCGGGCACGAGCCAGAATCTAAAAGGAATCAACATCAATGAATGGTCAAAGTAGTATTGTGTGCCACTCACATGTAATAATTGGTTTTATCTGCATTATTATGCTAATTTTGTGTTGTTTTTCAGCATTTGGCTAAAGAAAGGTGTAGATTTCAGCAGCTGATTATCGATTGATAACAGCTGTTCTGTTATCGACTAATAAAAACACAAAATTTATGAAATAAACTACGAAATCTTAGTACGAAATTGAATTTATTCTGTAAAATAATCAATAAACTAATTAAAGAATGTTGTTTTTCTTCTACTCAACAGGTGCATCGATTTTACCACCTATCGTTAATCGCCTATCGAACAGCTGTGAACAAAAAATCACTGACACCAAAAACAATGCAAAGTGAAAATTTTTGTTAGTGTTTTTAAACTTCCAAAAGAAATTCACTGTAAACTGAATGCTCAAAATATCATAATCAAAAGGCAGCTACAACGAGTTTGAGCAGCAGAATGGATATGGCCAGGAGCATATTCGGCCGGGACCACGAGGGTTACGTGGGCCGTGCAGAACATACGGTACGGGTAGGGGAAGCGCAGCGCTCTCTAATTAACTGGAAAAGATTGCTTATCAAGCTAATTATATTTTATCGTTTCCACGCTCCACTCGCTGCCAACACAGCGCAAACTGCAGAACTTGGGCTCGGAAGACGATCTGGGCGAGCTGCCGCCAATGATGGAAGAACTGAGCGTGGCCGATGGCCTGCGACCGAATCCTGGAGGACCGTTCTCCGCCCTCACGGCCTCCATGTGGCCGCAGGAGATCCTCGCCAAGCTGGGCGGGGAGGCTGAGCTGGGTTCTGGGCCCAACGACCAGCCCGAGTATCGTTTCGATGAGTTTGGGTTTCGCGTTGAGGAGGAGGACGGCCCCGAGCAGAGCTCAAATAAACTGCTTGGGATACCCTTTGTGGAGGATGCCCAGCAGCGACTGCAGTGGATAGCCCATCTGGAGTTCTCCCACAACAAGGAGGCCACAGAGCTCACGTGGGAGCATGTGGATGTGATGCTGCCGCGCACGGAGAAGCTGCGCAACATGGTACGGCAGGGCATTCCACACACACTGCGGGCCCAGATGTGGATGCGACTCTCTGGGGCATTGGCCAAGAAGCAGAAGAGCGAAACGAGCTACCAGGACATTGTCAAGGGTACAGATACCCCCACATATCGTGGTTGAGAAATTGTTCTTAAACTCTTTGTATTCCAGCTTCCAGCAACGACCAATTGATGACATCAAAGCAGATCGAGAAGGATCTGCTGCGCATCCTGCCCACAAACGCGTGTTTTAGCAATCCCAACGGCACGGGCATTCCCCGCCTGCGTCGCATCCTTCGGGGCATTGCGTGGCTCTTTCCCGACATTGGCTACTGCCAGGGCACAGGCGTCATTGTAGCCTGCCTGCTGCTGTTCATGGAGGAGGAAAATGCCTTCTGGATGATGGCCACCATTGTGGAGGATCTGCTGCCCGCCTCATACTACAGCTCCACGCTGCTCGGCATCCAGGCGGACCAGCGCGTTATGCAAACACTAATTGCCAATTACCTGACCAACGTGGATGAGTCGCTCAAGAAGCACGACATTGAGTTGTCGCTGATTACGCTGCACTGGTTTCTCACGGTCTTCGCGAATGTCGTGCACATGAAGATTCTCGTCCGGATATGGGACTGGTTCTTCTACGAGGGATCCATTGTGCTCTTCCAGCTAACCCTAGGCATGCTAAAGGTTAAAGAGCAGGAGCTCAAGCACCTGGAGAACTCTGCCCAGATCTTCAATTCCCTTTCGGACATTCCCGGCGAGGTCACTGACGTGGAGGTGCTCTTCAGGCAGGCCCTGGAGGTGGGCGGCTCCCTCAGTCAAACGGTGATCGACACGCATCGACGTCGCCACTTGGCCTACCTCATGGCCGACCAGGGTCATCAAATAGGCAATCCCGAGGCCACATCGAATCTGCCCAAGCAGCAGCTAGCCCGTCGGCAAGTCCGCAAAAGTAAATCCATACTGGAGGCTTTTCTGTTCCGCGGCGACGGCTCCGAGGCGGACCAGCTTAAGAACAAGAACATACGGCAAACGGAGATACTGGTGGATCTGCGCGAAGCCATACTCAAAGTGGGACGCCATTTCATCACGATTGAGCCCAAGCTGGCGGGGCACATCCAGCTGACGGCGAACTACAGCAGTGAATCGCATGCCAAGGACCACGAGAACTTCATTAATGTGGCGCGAACGCGAAAACGCCGCGCCAAGGCACTGCATGACTTTGAGCGACACGACGACGATGAGTTGGGGTTCAGGCGCAACGATATCATCACCATCATCAGCCAAAAGGATGAGCACTGCTGGGTGGGCGAGCTGAACGGATTGCGAGGCTGGTTTCCCGCCAAATTCGTGGAGCTGCTGGATGAACGCAGCAAGCTGTATACCTCGGCCGGAGACGACGCCATCTCCGAGACGGTGACGGATCTGGTGCGTGGCACACTGGCGCCAGCCATCAAGGCCTTTCTGGAGCACGGCATGAAGCGACCCACATTCCTCGGCGGACCCATCCACCCGTGGCTGTACATCGAGGAGGCGGCCACCCGCGAAGTGGAAAAGGACTTTGAATCCGTCTACAGTCGCCTGGTGCTGTGCAAAACGTATCGTCTGGACGAAGATGGCAAGGTGCTGACGCCCGAGGAGCTGCTCTATCGCTGCGTCCAGGCCATCAATCAAACGCACGACGATGCCCATGCCCAGATGGATGTGAAGCTGCGCTCTCTCATCTGCTTGGGCCTCAACGAACAGGTGCTGCATCTCTGGCTGGAGGTGCTGTGCGCCTGCCAGGAGGTGGTGCAGAAGTGGTACCACACCTGGAGCTTCATCGATTCCCCGGGCTGGGTGCAGATCAAATGCGAGCTAAGGATTCTATCGCAGTTTGCCTTCAATCTGAATCCGGACTGGGAGCTGCCGCCGAAGCGGGGCAAGGAGTCGCAGCCGCTGAAGGATGGAGTGCGCGACATGCTCGTGAAGCATCATCTCTTTTCGTGGGATCTGTGAGGCTTAACCCTGCATTCCATACAAACCAATCTGAACAAAAGAATATCTCATTCGCCGCGTATTTCTATATGTATGATTTTTCCCCCTATGTGCAATCACAGTCTAGACTCTCTAGATTTCGGCTTTTTCCATGTACTTAAGTGCTTTACCACCCTATGACCCCTATCGTACGAGTATACTTATAGCTTTTAATTATATCTCTACTAGAATTGTACTATAACTACTTTTATGTATATGCACTATGTATAGCTCGAGAGCTGTTTGTTTAATTAACATTTGTATCCATCCATATTTTTAACTCCACTTCCACGCAGCACACAAATGTAAACGTACCTCTTTCAATCGAAATCAAATCTTATAAAGTACATATTTATTACTATATATACACATAGATATTTAGCTGTCTAAATGCATTTCATTAAAGTTTAATATATATATATATTTAAATGGTACACCAACAAAAGGATTGGCTTCGATTTGGAGGGGATTCTAGTTGCAAACGAGACCCAAATAGTCATCCATCAGAGTGCCAATGGCAAACTACAAACAAAAGAACAATTAACATCAGGCATAGAAGATCCCTAAAGGGGGGACTTACAATGCCCGTGGCATCCACACGCGTGCCCACAATCTTGAGGCGTATTTTGTCCTCCCCAGAGATGACCACGTCCTCGTCTTTGCTCTTATAGCAAGGGGGATTGCCATTCGGACAGAATTGCATATCAGCGGGAATAGACTGAAAGAGTAACCATCAAATATAACACCACTCTATAAGGTAAACATATCTCTACTCACATGATGCGATATAAAACAAGACAAGGGACCAATTTCTGCAAACATGCCGACTTTGTTGATCTGCTTGACCACTGCGTCCAGCACTTCCCCCTTGAAGGGACGAAACACAATGGCCTTGTACTTGACCGGATACACCACGAAGCCCTGTCCGGGCTGGATGACACCAGATCCGATCTGATCTATGGTTGTGACGGCAATCACAAAACCATATTTTCCCGTGCAGGTTCCCTCCACTTCCGAGTACAACTTCTGCTTCACCGTCTCAAGCAGCTGCGGCCCAAAGTAGCGTGGATGCAGCAGAATTTCATGCTCCAGTGATATCTGGGGAATGAAACGGTTAGCTACTGTAATAAACGCTAAACTAGGTAAACTCACGTGGTAAAACATCTTTATTTTAATAATTACAAAAAAATAGCAAAACAACACATACGACGCTCAAAAACTTATCATCGTTATCGGGGTCGATTACAGCCGGCAAAACGCACCTTACAGCACTGCAGGAAGACAGTTTCGATATATCGTTACATATCGATAAACAACATATGTATCTGCACGTGTGCAGTTAAAGTTAAAATTAAATAAAACAAAATGAGGCCCACCTCAGAAATATTAAAAGAAATGAGGGAAAAGTATTTCCCGGAGTCCGTCAAGCCAGTCAGTACAAAGAAAAAGAGGGAAACCTTACTGACGGAGTACACAGAGTATCGTGATCGCCTTCTCGATCTGCTGACAGCCGCTGGCGTGCCATACTCCAAAGAGGAAGGTTCGTACGGAAACTGCAAACGAAATTCAATCATTATTGTGTGTAAATTTCCTTGCAGATGATGACACCTACGAGGACTACTTGCTGTCGGACACTGAAGAAGCGCCAAAGAAAAAGAGCAAAAAACAAAAGGCAACAGGTGAGGCTGATGAGGATCTGGAGGAGCGGCTGGCATCAATGAAGAACAAATTGCGCCAGAAAAAGGGGCCCACCACAGAACGCCAGCAGAAGCGACGCGAGGCCAAGAAGATGAAGCGCAGCAAGGGTGTCCAGAAGCTGATACTCTCCTCGGCCAAGAACCTGAAGAACGAAAACGTCAAGCAGAAAAAGTTGACCAATGGAGTGGTCAAGCACGAGGAAGACGGCGACACGAAGGATTCTAAGGCACTCATTAAACCCGTGAAACAGCAACCGGTCTACAACCAAGATGGAAAAATTGTCTACTCCAAGGTGGACTTCGCCGCCACGCCCGGCGGAAAGCAGAAAAAGTCGCATCAGAATCCCAAGGAAATCCTAAAGAAGCTGAAGGACACCAAGAAACAGATCAACGAACTGAAGGAGCAGGGCGAGACGGAGAAGGCGGCGGAAATGCAGACGGATATTGCGTGGAAGAAGGCGTTCGATAAGGTTGCCGGTAAAAAGGTGAAGGATGACCCCAAGCTCCTGCTGAAGTCCATCAAGAAGCGCAAGGTTGAGAAGAAGAAGGCCAAGACAAAGTGGTCGGAGCGCAAGCAGAAGGTGGACTACGACAAGGACAAGCGACAGAAGAAGCGGCAGGATAATCTGGAGAAGCGCAGCAAGGACAAGAAGAACAGGAAGCTAAAGAAGGCCAGCAAGAAGGGTCGCATCATAGCCGGTTACTAATAGAAACATAGACCAACCAACTCCACTGTATCGCTATAGACTAAGTTTAAAACTCCCATTGAAAATCTACTCAAATGGAAATAGAAATGTCTTACAAAACTGACAGCTTTCAGTGGTTTTATTATTGTTTTCGAAATTCACATTCGTCTTGGCCTTACAACAGTCCAAATTTCTTGTTTCCTTTTCTTTTCCTTTCCAGAAATTGTTGTACTTGGCCCATGGTGCGTTGTGACGAAAAAGAGGAAGAGAAGTGAGGCACGCAGAACAGCTGTTTGTGTCTATCGATTGAACTATCGATTGCATCAAAGCACAGTTCAGTGGGGAGATTTTTCTTGTTACAGCCCGCTGGCAAAATATTTGTGTTTAATCTAGTAAAGTCTAGTAGAACTTTTACCCGAAAACAAGTGCAATAATCAAAGCTACCTTGGGCGACATAGAGTAGCAGCAGTGAGCACGCACATCAAATATAAACGGACAGCACCGAAAGGTGGAGAAGCAATCAAAGTCAGAAAGTAATCGACACACGCACACAGCGAAACACATTACGTGCCGAGCGCAATCTCTTTCCTTCCCCCCATTTTCCACCAAAAAAAATCGCAGTGGCAGGCGAAAAAATCAACACAATTGCGTCGTAAACCAAGCAGGCTGCAAAGCGTTTTAAGTTTGTGTAAAAAACCCAACAGCTCCGGCTGAATGTCTAGAAGCAACTTCTGAACGAACCAACAACTTCACCGATCAGCACCACAAGAAGAAGAAGAAGCATCAGCAGAGGACAGAGGAGAAGCAGCGCTCAGCTGAGACTTCCGCAGGCCAGGCAGTGGATAGCACCACTGAAGTGAAGTGAAGCGGGCAGCAGCCATTATGAGCATGGTGCGGCGGATAATCTTGTTGGGCCCTAAATACAGCGTCTGGGCAAAGGGTAAGTCTTCTTCTTTACCCTGGCTATTGTTGCTGCAAAAATCATCGCATACGTAACTGCGTCATTTCCTGCTGGTGCAGCAGCTGATTTCGTATCAGTGCTGTGATCCCAATGCAATGCTGGAGCATTTCCGATTGCCGTTTACCTGTTTTGCTTATCAGAATTTTCTAGCCAGGCCCCCCACAAACGGCGCCAAGCTCTGCGCTGCGCCTCTGGGCCACTACCTGAAGGTCGTCTTCTTTTGATATCAAAAAAAGCTGCTCTCGCGGTCAACATCCCACACAGGGGCGTCTCTCAAAAGGGGATCACCTGTAATGCTATCGATAGACGTTCGATCGTTTTGATTTTACATAAACCAAATATGCGGGATTGAAGGCCGCCCAATAAGACCACGTTTATGCATCGTTGTAATACCCTCTGGGGCCCAGAGTCGCTGTAACTATCGATTCCCGATCACCAATCGATCTGCAAAAGAGTATCAAATGCTTCGTCTTCGCGCTTCCGAAAACAGACCACCTTTCTTGTTTTTGGTTGGTCTTTGGACTGAACTTGAATTGTCTTAAAAAACAGCTTGTATTATTACCATTGCCTATGCTCTGCTCGGCGTCTGACGCAATGATTTTTTTATTATTACATGGCTTTGGTCGTTGGCGGCATAATTTTTATATTTGATAGCCAGGCTATTATATTTCTGGGCTTACGGGTAAGCTAGGGAAAGCGATCTTACGCGGAAGTTGATGGCGGGAAATCTACACTTAGAGAAAGTACTGGATTAGCCACTCTTGGAGGTAGATCCTCTAAAATTTAGGGAAGCGATTGTAAAGATGATCTTTGATATAATAATCTGAGATAATCTGAGAGTGCGATAAAGATACATAGTTTCGACAGTCATCTGTGATCTGTGATATCGGCAGGTGCTAATTGGCCTTGGCCTTTATTTGCTTCGTATTTTGCGGTTGAAATCCGTCTCTCCCTCTCTGCGTTGCTATCTCTCGTTTGTATGGATTCCAATGCTATTAACCTTTGAAAAGTACAGGGTCAATGTTTCCATTCTTTTATTGAATTTCCTTTGAATGCCAGCATCCCACTAATTCCTCTTTTGTGTGGCTCTTTCTAGGTGCCGGAGTACCAACCACACAGCACTCAGCAAAATGTGCAGCAGCAACAGGAGGAGGAGGGGGACCCGGAGTGTGCGGCGTACGACGCTTCCACTTGGCCACACGCCACTGCGCTGCCAGCAGGCAGATTGTGCTGGAGCCCGTCATGAATATACCCGCGTACATTGACATCACCAATGGAACGACACAGACGCCGGAGGACTCAAGCGGCGGCAGCGGAAGCAGCGCCAGCAGTGGCGGCACCTCAAAGATCCCTGGAACCGGCTCGAGTGCTGGCGGAGCGAGCACAACGAGCGGTGGAGATCCGCCGGGCGGTGGCGACAAGTTTCTGTCGTGCCCGAAATGCGGCAGCGCCTGCACTCAGGTGGAGACGTTCGTCAGCTCGACGCGATTCGTCAAGTGCGCCAAGTGCAACTACTTCTTTGTGGTGCTCTCCGAGGTGGAGACCAAGCAGCGGGTCAAGGATGAGCCGAAGAACCAGCGAAAACCCCCACCGCCGCCCCAGAAGATCATGGAGTACCTCGACAAGCACGTGGTGGGCCAGGACTTTGCCAAGAAAGTGCTCGCCGTGGCGGTCTACAACCACTACAAGCGCATCCACCACAATCTGCCCCAGCTGCAGCAGCAGCAGAGTGGCGGTCAGGGAGGCACTGGCATGGACGGCATTCCCCGTCCCGATCTCCTGCACATCACGGGCATTGGTCACACCCTAAACAGCTCGCCGGGCAACGAACTCCCCCCCAAGCCAGCACAGATGGGCATGGGCGGAGGCATGGGCGGCGGTCTGGGGAGCAACCTAGGCAATCAGCCGGGACGCGGCGGCGGCGACAATCGCGCCGGCTCCGAGATACTCGACAACAAGTCCACGGACGTGAAGCTGGAAAAAAGCAACATCATCATGCTCGGGCCCACGGGATCGGGCAAGACGCTGATTGCCCAAACGATTGCCCGCTGCCTGGACGTCCCGTTTGCCATCTGCGACTGCACGACCCTCACCCAAGCGGGCTACGTGGGCGAGGACATTGAGAGCGTCATCTCCAAGCTGCTGCAGGATGCCAACTACAATGTGGATCGAGCCCAGACGGGCATTGTGTTCCTCGACGAGGTGGACAAGATCGGTGCCGTCCCTGGAATCCATCAGCTACGCGATGTTGGCGGCGAAGGTGTCCAGCAGGGCATGCTCAAGATGCTGGAAGGCACGGTCGTCAATGTCCCAGAGCGTAACTCCCCGCGAAAACTGCGCGGCGAAACGGTGCAGGTGGATACCACGAATATCCTTTTTGTGGCCTCCGGCGCCTACACGGGACTGGATAGGCTCATTGGTAGACGCCTCAACGAGAAGGTGAGAGATCTCTTTTGTAGAGATGTGGCTTCTATAATTATTTATTATTCGTTTTTCTTTTAGTATTTGGGCTTTGGCATGCCCTCTTCGTCAAGCGGCTCTGGCAATCGTCGAGCCGTGCAATCGGTGGCTGCCCCCATGGACAATGATCAGGAGGAGCGTGATAAATGCCTCACCAAAGTGCAGGCCCGTGATCTCGTCGAGTTCGGAATGATTCCCGTGAGTGTAGACCCGATTTTTCCCCTTGATTTCTTCTAATAATTTTGTGGGTGTTTCAGGAATTCGTTGGACGCTTTCCGGTTATTGTGCCCTTCCACAGTTTGAATGTCAGCATGCTGGTGCGCATTCTCACCGAGCCACGTAATGCTCTGGTGCCTCAATACAAGGCGCTGCTGGGTCTGGATGATGTTGATCTAACCTTCGATGAAGATGCTGTGGAATCAATTGCCAAGCTGGCAATGGAAAGACATACAGGTGCCCGAGGATTGCGCTCCATAATGGTACGAAAGTGATTTTAATTTATAAATGTATATCTAAATGATGTTTTTTTTGCAGGAGCAACTCTTGCTGGATCCCATGTTCATAGTGCCAGGCTCGGACATACGGGGCGTGCACATTACCGGCGAATGTGTGAGAGGACAGAGCACACCCGTATACAATCGCGACACGGATGCGACGGCGAGCAGCAACAGTGGTGGGTCCTCCTCCGACTCGGAGAGCACCAACGATAATGATAAGAGCTTTGAGGATAGTGAAAAAGTACGCGTAAAACAGTAGAAAGCAAACATCGAAACCACAAAACAAAAAACAGAGCTAGAGCCACAAACGAATAATACTTTCAGTTTTCTAGATACATATATATCTGTCTGTATTCTATATGTATTTGCTGCTTACTTTACAACCAAACTACTTGCTTGCTTCGAACACAGAACAGCCCAATGTTTAATATCCTTTATACATATATATATTAATAATGTATATTTTTTTAGTCGTTTGTGAATGATACATTGGCTGGCACGTCGTAGCTCTTCCCCCCTCTATCTTCCTGTACAAAATATCCCCCGAAAACGACGGATAATATATATCATATAATATTCAATCCCATTATATGCATCTGTGATTCATGAAACGACAAGCAGCAATTGTAAGCAGAATATATATATATATAAAGAAAAGAAGAGCACCTAAAAAGCAGGAATAACTAATAAAAGAAACCTTTAAATCCCTTTTAAATAATACATAATTGTAATTTGTACCTCTCTGTAATCTGAATTGTGGTCGGTCGGTCCTGTTTGGCGATCCTGAGATCCTCTCTCTACCATTATACCAATTATATATATACACCCGATATATTTAGGCGAATTGTTTGCATAGTCTAAAAGCGAGTTTCAACATGAGTTCTGGTAGCGTTTTGCAATGACGACAAAGCGGGAAAAACTTATATTTTTAACTACATTTAAGTTAAACTTTGAAACCATAAAAAAAATCAAAAACAAATTAAATAATAAAAAAAAAATGAAAAAGTTCAAAGAGAAATGGTATATGATTTGTGGAGGGAAGCAACGAGTAGAAGGGGCATCATGTGGAGATCCATAGGAGATCATTTACATATTATCACAGACCAAGATGTTGCATGAGGGGCGGGCTATCCTTCGCCTCCGACCGAAGCCTGCTGCCTTCCTTCTAGTGTTCGGCTGCTCAGCTCGTTTACACATTCTTTGGCGACGCACAACGTAGATCGAGACTCGAGTTTGCAGAAACAATAAACATTGCTTGGGCATGACTCAGTACATTGATTTACAGTTTTTGGTTGAGGTAGTAAGAATACGATCAGGATCATGGGTATCACAAAAGAAAGCATTAAGAAAAGATAAAGAAGTAAAAATTGAAAGATTTTCATATGCAGAAAAGAAGGAAAGAAGAAGAAGAGCATGAGAGTGTAAGATGTTCATCGCTGGCAAATGGCCGGAACAAATGAGATGTCAATTAAATCCAAAGGCTCTCCTTGAGCCGGCATATTTTCTATATACTGGAACATTTGTTATAATTTTCAATTAATTTATTTTATTCGTCATTAAAATTCAACTAAAATATGTAGAAACTCATAATAAATAAATCGAATTTATTGCACATATGGGACTAAAAGTATTTCCTTTTCTTTTCATTCGTTCTTTTTGTTTTGTTTTGTTTTGTTTCCTTGTTTTTCATTCAGTTTTTTCAGTTTTTCATTTACGTAGTGTATAAATTTGTATAAAAATTTGTATGTTAATAAATATGTGTGTATCTTTAAGCAATCCGATCCCATCCCTCTCAATCGTTCTCCTCGGATATGAGGAGCTCGTATTCCTGTGCCGCAAACCGATCCCAATCGGAGGTCTATAAAAAATGGAGAGGCTATGTAAAGTCTGAACCGACGGGCACTGCTGCATGGCACTCACATATTCATCACGCTGCGAGGCAAATGGATCTCTTTGTTCATGATCCAAATACTTCTCCAGATTGAAGAAGGTGTCGAAGAAGACGTGCGTCATTTTGCAGCGTTTCAGATCGCCCAACGTAATGCAGTCCCGATTCGCAGGCTTAATCATGTCCAGCATCTAAAGAAGAAAGAATTTAGAGGCTTCCAGAGATGGAAAAGAGGACTCCGCACCTGACACAGACAATCCTCGAATGGCAGGCACTCGATGCCAATGCCCTCCATGCGCTGCTGTTGCTCCTCGTAGAAATACTCCAGCTCGTACATGGATAGGGCGCCATCGCCATCGATGTCCATGCAGCGGAACCAATACTCAATGGCCGTCGGTGTGCGTTTGTCCTCCTCGGAGAGTATGAACCAAACAAAGTCTGTGTAGGACATTTTGGCCTCTTCCTCGGGTCCCTTTTTGCTATCCGTGCGCGTAACACAGCCGGAAAAGATGCGCTCTACGATCCGGGAGGACAGTGCATGATCGCTATGCTTGGCCAGATCCTCCTGATTGATGAGCAGATCGTGATCCTTGTCCAGTTCCCAGAACTTGCAGTAGATCACATAAAAGTGCTCATAGCTAAAGAAGGCCATGATCTGATTAATGTCCTCCTCCTCCTCCAAAAGACTAATCATCTGAGGGATAAAAGTGATCTTTAAGCAGTCCATCCTTTTACAATCTTGAAGGAAGATACGTACCTCTAAGAGATCAGATCTCTTGAGCTCTGCAATTGTGATCCTGCCGCTCCAACTGCGATTCACCGAATAGAAAATGCGCGCGATGACCGTGTGCACGTATCTGGAATGAAACTCGGTGGCCTCCTTGAGGAAGGCCAGTCCGGGATGTGTATCGACCACATCCTGCACCATCGGCACCAAATCCTCTGGCACAATGTAAGAGCGAAATCGCTGGCCACGCGACAGGATGTACACGAATCGGGACGCAGCCTCATGGCAATATATATTCATTCTGCAAGAGAGTAATACATATATTACTCCATGATCCATTAGGAGGGCGTATAAGTAATGTGCTTACTGTTTCCAGAACTCTACAAATCTCTGACGTTCGACGAGACCCGAATTGGACGTCTGGCAAAAGACCATCACGGGCATCCGCCAGTAGTAGGGCATGCCGCAGAGCTTCAGGATCCGTGGCAGATCGTCTTTGGTCACCTGATTGTTGGGAAAGCTATCGAAGCCGGAGAGTATACCCCGGACCACACGCTCCATGGCAATCGTTGGCTGTGGCTTGCCATGTGGAAAGTAGAATCTGCAGAAGGAGAAGGCACTCTCTAGAGTATAAATATTGTAGGATCTTCTAAGAGCACTGCCCCACCTAGGTATGTAAACACTCTTTGTGGAGCGTATTTCCTTTTGCAGCAGATTCGTGTCCGGCGGTGGCGGCGGTGTGGCATGCAGCTTGACCTGTATAAATAATAAATTATAACCATATTAATCTTTCCATACGAAAAACTCTCGAGTTGTTTACACTTTTCTGATGCCCCGCCACTCAATAAAATTACGAATTTATTTATTTAGCATTTGGTTTCGTGCCTTTTGTTTAGATTCCGCGGAATTTTCGCAGACAGGCCCAACCACGCCCTATTTTTCTATGTATTTTGCGCCCTTTACCTTTTAATTTTACGAAATGTGGGCCATTTAAATAAACATAAACAAAATTTGCTGTCTAATTCGAGAGCATTGATATTGAGTGGGGGAAATGCAGAAGCAGAAGAAATGTGAAAGGAAGCAAATCTTGGATACCCTTTTAAAAATCGATTGGAAAGATCTTTTCCGAATATTTATACCGAATATGTTCTCAGACCGAGCAAATTAATATTTAAGGAACCCTAGGCCTAGAAACAGATCGAAAGACCTGTCTTTATTGACTCTCCTGTTGATTCTCCTAATATATAAACTACACGATCGAAAACCCTTCCTTTTCTGCCCTGCCAACCCCCAATCAGAGTCCATAGCACCCTCCTTTTCTTAGGGTACAGCCGCTACACGTCTTCGGGGGCAAGTACTCGTGAAATGAAAACATGTGTACGAGTACGAGTACGACTATGATAATTCCCCTCCGATCCGATACGTTGGTGGGATTTTTATGTGGCGAATCTTCTAATTAGCTAAAGAATTTTTTGGGCGGGGGCGGAAAGGTGGGCACATCTTGTGCGATAAATTCTTAATTGGCAGCTACGGAAAAACATCACAGGAATTATTTGTCTGTGAATGGATGGACTGAATGGAAAAATATTGGAGGGTCTATAAATAAATTAAATCTGCTTTAAATAGGCAGAAATTAATCAAGTACTTTTTTTCTTTGGAAATAAATTTATTTGTTTAAAAGATTGAATCATCAATGGCAACTATAGATTTTCCACTTATTTGCACAATATTTGCTCTAAGATCATAAAGGGTTTCCATGTATTGAATAATTAGCTGGAAACTCGTTTTCTTCATCCATCCTCAAAGGGCATTAAAATACTGGGAATGTTTCTGTTTCATCGATTTCTAAGGCTATTAAATTACTATTAAAATACTGTAAACATGTTTTCTTCATTGATATTCAAGGCCCTCTGGAAATTTTCGTTCATTCCCCTCCAGCTTCTGTATTATTTCTCTCTGTTTATCGAAACCTTAACCCCATCTTCTGTACAAGTAAATCCCTCCCTGTCTTTCTCTGTCTTAAGCGAACTTCCATCATTTATATAGCCCCCTGCCCAATGGCCATTCATGATTTTAAAACTGTCAACGAACACATAAATATTAATCTTTGCGTCCATCCATCCATACACAAAAAAAAAGCAAACAATCCACGAAATACTCGTACTCTCAGGGCATGTGCGCGCACAAGAGTCTATTACGTATACGCCCGGCTGCTACTTCTACACAATCGTTTATAGTCAAATATTACGCATACGCATTGTTGCCTAATTTATAGGAATAAAGAAATCTCTCCCACACACAGGGAGAGAGAGAGAGCAGAAATCTCTCAGAAAGAGAGAAACCAAAATTAAATTCAACTTTTGTCTGCCTAAAAGTTAATTGCAAAAAATAGTGGCGTGGGGATTATATTTTTAGACGATTTATTTGCTTTGATCCAACAATTCAACGATCCAACCGATCCAACCGATTCGAACGTTCGATGAAGTGAGGAATTTCACAGCAGCCAACAATCGTCGTTAGGCAAAAAATTCAAGTGTTTCTTGGAATGATCCCTCCTCTCTCTCGCTCTCTCTCCCTCGATTGTTGTTTTGTTTTGGTAGGAATATTGTACACCCTTGTAATTAAATAATTAAACAATTCTACAGCTAAAAGCAAGCTACAATCCACAGCAAAAACACAATTGCAATTCATACCAGTACAAAACACAGAAAACAAAAAAAAGAAACACACAAATTAAAAATTGATAATGATCACATGCGGGGGATTCTACTCTGTGTTTTTGGTTTTGCTTGATTTTTTCTTTGTTTTTTCTTTGTTTTTGGTTGTGTGCACGATCGAAAGCCAATGCTTGATCGTAAATGCTTGATTTGATTGTTTGTATTGTGTACGTAAATATATGCACACTCGTACGAGCACGAGCAAGAGCACTCGCATTGCCCCAACCTTTCCTATCGATAGGGGCACTCGATTGGCGAGCCCATCCCCAAAATGGGATCCAAATAGAAACAACAACATAAGAGGTTTCGCCAAGTTATAGGAATACACCCCTATTCCTCCTATACGGATTACACTTTCGATTTCGAAAGCTGTTCTATTCGGCACGCCCTTACTGCCCCGAGACTAGGTAAAAACAAAATATACTTCGTGTGTGCTTCGACCAAGGATTAATATTTCTATAGCTAATGGATCCATCGCAGGACTGACAGAAGAGCGTATCAGAAGAGTGTTCAGAAAGTTATCTTTGGGGGATATTTTTACAAATATGCTCGTACTTAGAGTAATAGAGATTCAATATTATATTCCCCTGCTTCTAAGAAATCAATGATCAAAGATCCGTCTCTCTCCTAGTATTCCAAATCCCAGTAAGCCCCACAGTTTTCTCGGTTTGTAGATTGTTATACGTAAGTAGATCTCGTATCAAAACCAGACCTAAATTAACACCTTTTCCATGTGAATCCCCTCACATTTTTGCCTCTCTTTCTTTCTCTTTCGCTGAATTTAGTCAGTGATTTGGCACATGCTTTCATCTCTCATGTGGGGTAACCTTAAATCAATCAATGTTGCCGCCGCTGGCTGCCACTGCCTCTCGCATCGATAACAAATGCAATTATCTGAGAGGAGATCGGAGAGGGGCCTGGGGGCCTGCGGCACAGGCACTCAATTTGTTGCTATAGTTTGTCGCTTTTTCACATTTTCCTCTGGCATTTTCAACTGTTAGATAACAATCGCATGGGCATGGGTGGCATCCAATTGGCGGCGGCGGGAGGGGAAATCCACCAGCCCCACCTCATGAATATCATTCAATTAGGGCCTCTGGGCCTTAGGGAACGAGGGACTGGGGGCTGCAGAGGAGACTCACCTTGAGGAGACTCTTGGGCGCAACGTCGGCCTGGGGGCGCTTGATGTTGAGGAATGCATGCCTCACGTCCGGACACTTTTCGAACATCAGAACACGCTCCGCCACCGATCCGCGTGTGAGGAGACCCGCTAGAAGAGATGACGTATCATCATCACGTGGATTTCTTGGTAGATTTCTGGCAGAACGGGGACTACTACGGGTATGGGGTACTCTGGTTGGGTTCTGGGATCTACTATTTTCAATCGTACCATTCTTGTTCTTTGTGGGATCCTGGCTGCCGTTGGTCAGGGCTGGCCGTGCCCCGCTAGTGGGTTTCACTTTATTCAACGTTGGCATCGTTGTACTGACGGATGTTGCATCCATCGATGTTGCTGCTGTCGCTGGTGCGGATGTTCCCACAGAAGATGCGTTGGACACAATGTTGCTGTGGCTGTTATCAGTGGCACTGCTGCCTCTTGTGGATTTGCGTGTGGCAGTAGCTACTACCGATGTTGCGGGTTTTTCTTTGGTTGCCGGCTGTTGCTGCTGCTGTTGCTGTTGCTGCTGCTTCCCTTCGGCGCTGTTCTCTTTGGTTTTGCTTGACTTGCGATTTGTGGCCACCACCGTCGCCTCGGCGCTCTTATCACTCACTGCCTCTGCCACTCTGTGGGGCTGTGGGGCATCTATAACATCGATGCTAACTGCTGCTGTTACGGCACTTGTCCCGCTCTTGGCTTTGGTCTGCTTTTTGGTGGGGGATTGTTGCTCTGGGGCGGCTGCTGCCGCTGTTACCTTTACAGAATTGGCAACCTTCCCGCTGCTGCCGCTGCCGCTGCTGCTGCTGCTTCCACTCTGCCGCTTCTTCAGAGGATTGGCTGCCGTCGCCTCCTTCTGCTGCTGGATTATCTCACTGATCTTCAGGAGATGCGCCGTCTGCTCTTGGGACAGATTATTCATATCCAAATGGAGGTTGATGTCGTAGTTGAGATTCACATCGGGCAGGGATTTGCTGACGGCAGCCACTTTCTTTGGGGATTGCAGGGCCTGCTCGAAGGCGGAGGCGCCCCCGGCGGCTGCAGGGCCAGCGGCCGCTGACTTCTTCACCTTTCCATTGGCGGTGGGTCCCTCAGATTTCTTAGCAGTCTTTCCCCTTTGCTCCTTGTCCTTGTTCACGAAGCTGGTGACCATCTTTTGGAGCCCCTCCGCATCAGCTGTGGGGGCGCCTGCCACCTCTGCAAAGTCGCCCGAGCCGGCGGCATTTGTATACATCTCCAAGAGCTCCACCGGAGGCAGCCCGCGCATCTTCCACTTGCGATAGATGGCATCCGCATGCTCGTTGATTTTCTTTGAAATCTCCGCAATCTCGGGATCGCTTGCACTTGTGCTTGTGGCAGCCGCTGATCCCGCCGTCGATGCCTTTGGCGACTTGGGGCTGGCTCCAGCCGGCTTCCGGGTGGTGGTTGTCGTCTTTGTGGCACTCGTCACCGCCACGGAGCTGATCATGTTCGGAGCCCCCGAACCCGTGCTGCTGCTCAGCTTCTTCGTTTTTGTGGTTGTTGTTGTGGTGGTGCTCGAGGCCTGCATTTTTGTTATTTTTTTTTTGTGTTTCGATATTTTTCTTGTTCGTTTTGCTTTACTTTCGCCGAAAAATCACATTTTCCTTCGTTCACATTTTTTCTCCAATAAATTTATGAAATTTTTAATTCAATTTCCAGCTTTTTATTCAAGCGTTTTCTTTGGGGGAGGGAGAAGATTCACATGCGTTTCATTCACTTTTCACTTTTCACATTTCACATCGTCTTCACTTCAGAGTTTTTCCACCGTAGGCTGCGTATGGTATGGCGAAATCTATTTATAAATGGAATATACCAAAATTTCCTATTTCAGACGCCGAAAACCGAAAGAGAAACAGAAACAGACAGGCACACACACGTTCACACACGAACACACATGGATAGGGATCGAGAGGAGAAGACGCACCACACGAAAATATACACGGATAACGGGACCAGGCCCAGGCACAGCCACAGCATCGCATCCCATCAGAGAATATCGAGAGGCAACGCGTACACGGCGGCGGCACAGTGGTTGTGGGAGAATGTAAATTGGATGAAAACGGAAGGAGGTGATATTCTATAAGAATATCTTATCTTGATCTCTTCACTGCCACTAATAATTATCGTATCGTATCACTCAATTAATTAATGTTTTCACACCTTGCAAGATCAAACACCAAGCAATTATCAAGTCAAGTTTAATCATTCTCTCATTTCTATTCGATTCGATTCGGTGATATTCGTGGGAAAACAATCAATTAATCAATTGAACTAATTGAATCAATTTCACTGCCTCACAAACGCAGCTCGTACCACTGTGCATGCGTAAGAAATGTATAAATGCCGCCCGCCTTTGCCGTTTTTTTTTACGTGTGAGAGGCGGGATGGGATGGGGGATGGAAACGGGATGAGGATGAGACCGGGAGACTGCGCTGCACACTGCGACGACGACAGAGGCTAAGTCGACGGCGGTTGTTCCTACTGCTTCCTCTTCAACGTTGTACTATTTATTCGAAAATAAATTTCGAAGTACCGCACGCACACTCATTCTCATTCCGCCTTCTAATGCACTTTACATATGACTGTCTGTTCCCCACTCGCTAAGTGTGTGTGCTCGGTGTGTGTCTGTGTGCATTAACATACATATATTTGAATATTTGTCTGGTTTTTATTAATGATTTAATTGCATTTATGCCTAAGAGGCGCGCGTGCTGACGACAATGGCGACGGATTTCGTCATTAATTAATTAACCAAACCAAAGGTTAATAGATTTTTTGCGGGTTGACATTTCGTTTTCGTGTTGGTTTGGTTCCATTTGGCGAATATTTGCAATTATGATCGAATTAGAAAAACACACGCGGCGGAAAATGTGTGTTTTACTTTTTGGAAAAACGCTGGCAGGCTTCCGCTTTAAACGAGTGTCTAAATTTAACAGCAAAACAGAACAGATTTTGAACAAAAATAATGTAAATTTTATCCGAGAGCGAAAACCAAGCGAACTGCACGCGGACGCTGCCCGATGCTGCTTAGCGGTTCGTGTTTGTTACTGTAAATCCCTCAGCCGCGCTGCTGAAAATAACATCAGCCATAGCGAATAGAGAGAGTGTGTGTCCGAGGTGATCTCAGCTGTTTGCTGCCGCTGCACTATACTAATGACACTCTCTTCCTCAGCCACCAAGAACAAGCGCTCCCACACACGACCCCAACCAAGCCCCAACCATTCGATCGTCAGGCGCAGAGAGCCAGAGAGAGAACAGAGGCCGAAAACATCGTCCCATTACTTTGGCGTTCTCTATCTCTCCCATTTACCCCCACACGAATAGGCAGCGGCAGAGGGCAGCGGCAGAACACTTGCCGTCGTTTACCCACTCACGCTCACACACACACTTATACACGTGCAAGCGCCAAGCCATTGTCGAACATAAAAAAATACAAAAATCAAATCATAGGTGTTTGTTAATTATACACTGTCCTACAGAGGACAGAGGGTATAACTGCATAACGATGAAGTTTGGCAAACAAAACGATAAGGTAATAGCCCCCGTAAGCACACTTGCTTATATTTGCATGTAGTTTGTAAAGTGTGCGACAAAGAGTACGAGAAGGAGAGGGGAAGCAGGAGAGCCATCACCTTATCTTGTCATTCGAACATCATTGACTTGAATTCCAACTCGAACAATTAAAGGCTTAAGCAATGGCAGGGCATACAATAACGGCTCTTGCTGCACGTTTCTTCAAGTTTTTTTCGTGTCTGCCTCATTGAACAGGAAAACAGCAGCAGCAAGAGCAACAACAACAACAAAAAATCGAAGCATTTATCTCGCTTATTTGCTAATGCTAAATTATCTCCATCTTCTGCTTCTTCTATTCGTTCCATCTTCTGCTTCGTCTGCTGCTGCTGCTCTGCCCCCGCAAATGTTTGCTGCAGTTGTTGTTGCTTTTGTTTGTACCTGTAGCTCGTTTTGTTTCCCCGCTTTGTTTATGTTACCTTTTTTGCAGGTGGGCGAGCAATACGAATTTTGTGTTTGTTTGTTTAAAGAAACCCGAATAAATGTTGAGTAAATTGAAATGCGATTCATGTTTTCGCATAATTTCGAAAATGATATTCCTTTTAAATACCCTACGATTTCAACAATTTGTTGATAGATTTTACACCTACATATATACAGATATCCGTACAAACAGTAAACCGCAAAAACACAGCTCTGACTGCATGATAATGATATAATAATAATGACGTCGATGACGACAACTATGAAGATAATGATGATCTGAGCTCAGCTTCCGGTTTTGCGCATTTGGTATTTATTTTAGATTTTGATCTATATGATCTCCGTATAGCTTTATACAGCTTTATTTATCACACGATGATGTCGTTTTTATGGTTTTTAGTTCTATCTCTGGTTGGATGCCTTGCGGTGTGTAATTGCTTTAAACCAAAAGATCGTCCAACCTTAACATGTGTCGACTGTCACATAAATTTTCACATACAAATTGACAGTTACAGTGACAGGTATCGATTGATGGACAACATTTCGTAATCTCTCGATCAAGAGCTCGTCCGCTCCATCCCTTCAGACTTCACTGTACTCACGTTGTCGCTGCCATAAAACCATATAAGGGTTAAGAGAGAGATTAGCTAAAAAGTTGACCTAATTCGAGCAAAACAAAAGGCCTTTATGCTAAAATTTGGATCCACAAAAAGCAACCCCCGCACGCACACCTATTCGGAAAATGGGTGTCCGCGACCAGACGCCCAAACAATCGGACCCCCGAGCGTGACAATGGAAGTGTGAATAGATCAATCGCTACAGAGAGGGGGGCCCGGGCAGGCACCTCTATAAGCAGCTTAGCGGCAGAGAGTCAGATAGTCAGAGAGCCAAAGCCCAAGCGGGGGATCAGTCTCGACTCGGAAGAGTGTGTTTGCTTTTGGGCATTTTTCTAATGGCTCGTGACTTTGAAGGCAAAAAGCAAACACATCAGACATTCCGTTGGGACATTGGGTGAGAATATCAATAACATGAATAATGGATGTTTGGACAAATGCTACTCATCTTTATATATAATTTTTAGTGAACTTTCAGAGTTCCAAATTGATAGAAATACTGAAAATAGTTCTAAAGGTGCCTCTATGTCTGATACGCACTCTTCTCATGCTTCCATTATATTTTTCCTGTTACGTATTGCCCATCGATTTCTTAAGCATTGACACATTAAATCGTTGACTTTCCACGCCTCTTTTTTCGGGCACAATGTCAAAGAGACGAGACCCATAGATACCCATAATCGAGAGGTGCTGAAAGAAGCCTCTGAAATGTCTAACTATTGACATTGGCCCATTGCAATGGGCTATTATGATTATAAGCCAAAAGCTGTCTGCACTTTTGTAGCATGTACGTATGTATATATTTTTAGGTGCACTGGCGTCTTGGCTAATTGAATTTGAACCCTACCAGAGGGGGTTCTTTTAAGAATCTGCAAGGAAAACTATAAAAGCCCCAGAGTCACCAGCGGACGTTGCAGGTTTCGAACGACCAATCGCCGCGAATAGTCCGCTCCAGTGAAATATTCAAAATAAATTTAGGGAATCCTTTAATGTAAAAAGTTTTTGAAAAATATCTAACCGAATTTGCAAGCTTTTTATGTAGAAAGAGTGAGTTTTATAGGCGGGATATAGTGACACACAAATAACTGGGAAAAATAAAATCACAATGGATAGGTAGGAAGATCTACATACTCGTAGATGATGGGATGACCTATACCCTATTTTGTTGCAGCTTTGCAGCAGTAGCCACACAATTGGGGCCGCATTTCGCAGCCCTTTCGAATGGTTCGGTGGTGGATAAGGTTACCCCCGACATGGCACATCTAATCAGCCCATACTGGAATCAGTTCCCCGCCATGGACCCCATCTGGGCCAAGATCCTTACGGCCTATATGATTATTATTGGAATGATTTCCTGGTGTGGAAATGGCGTGGTGATCTACATCTTTGCCACCACAAAGTCACTGCGTACTCCTGCAAACCTCCTGGTCATCAACCTGGCCATCTCCGACTTTGGCATCATGATCACCAACACGCCCATGATGGGCATCAATCTGTACTTTGAGACCTGGGTCCTCGGACCCATGATGTGCGACATCTACGCGGGTCTGGGCTCTGCCTTTGGCTGCAGCTCCATCTGGTCCATGTGCATGATCTCCCTGGATCGCTACCAGGTCATCGTCAAGGGCATGGCTGGACGACCGATGACCATTCCACTGGCATTGGGCAAGATTGCCTACATCTGGTTCATGTCGAGCATTTGGTGCCTGGCCCCCGTCTTCGGCTGGAGCAGGTAAGAAGGATTCTTTGTATTTAAAGGGGTTTCTGGAATGGAAAAGCAGGGGACTTTTCCTCCATAGAGAGGGAGACAGTTGTCTCTCAAACGATGGTCAACACAGGCAGAAACGTAAAGCAGCCGAGGAGAGGTGCTGCCTGACGCGCGACACTTGTATCCAAAGACGATTTAAAGGTGTTTTGAAGCGAAAAAGCTGTGTTGCAGCTATGGAAACTGTCTGCTAGTGAAAGAATGGCTCAAGTATAGGCTGTTCTAAGAGAGAATTTTAGTGGTGAGAATACTCAACAATCAGAAAGCTGTGTCTTTGAAGTACCTCTACGCATATTATAGCTAAAATATATTTTAGTAAAATCTTCGTTTATCCATTTCTCAAGGTATGTGCCGGAGGGTAACTTGACATCGTGTGGTATTGACTACTTGGAACGCGATTGGAATCCACGCTCGTACCTGATCTTCTACTCGATCTTTGTCTACTATATCCCGCTCTTCCTCATCTGCTACTCCTATTGGTTCATCATTGCTGTAAGAACAGACACCGACAGACCCCTATATCATATCATTTAGTATAACTTTAGTATAACTGATAACTGTTATTTTGTTTAGGCCGTTTCCGCTCACGAGAAGGCCATGAGGGAGCAGGCCAAGAAGATGAATGTCAAGTCCCTGCGCTCCTCCGAGGATGCCGACAAGAGTGCTGAGGGCAAGCTTGCCAAAGTGGCTCTGGTCACCATCTCCCTGTGGTTCATGGCGTGGACTCCATACTTGGTGATCAACTGCATGGGATTGTTCAAATTTGAGGGTCTAACTCCACTAAATACCATCTGGGGTGCCTGCTTTGCCAAGTCGGCGGCCTGCTACAATCCCATTGTCTATGGCATTAGGTGGGTCTATATCTTATACGATTTCGTCTATGATCTCTGATCCTATCTCCTGTTTTATAGCCATCCTAAGTATCGCCTGGCTTTGAAGGAGAAGTGCCCTTGCTGTGTCTTTGGCAAGGTCGATGATGGCAAATCGAGCGAAGCCCAATCGCAGGCCACCAACAGCGAGGCCGAATCCAAGGCATAAAAAGGAAAAAAAAGATACATTTCTCTTAAAAGAACAGCAACAAAAGCAACATCTTACAACAGCAACAACAACAACAACAAGAACAACAAGAACAGCAACAACAACAAGAACAACTGCAGCAACAGAACGAAACGCTTTCGAATACTAACAACATCAACCAAAAAATAGAACAACACCTCTATGGAAAAATGTGTAAATTTCCTCATTTACAAATTTCTTGCCTCCAATATCTAAAAGCAACAAATCTTTATCTAAAAAACACTTCTGCAATGTCACTAAAGACGAAACAAACAAAAAAATCTTAAACAAAAAAAATAAATGCAAACGAACTAGAAAAGTTATAAGCGGAAAATGTGTGCTTTTCTTCTCTCGCTAAATAATTCACTCGCAGATCCTAAGATTGTCTAGAAATTTGATAATACCATGGATTTTTCTTGAGATTAATACCCTTAAGACAGCCATCCTTTTTTAGTTCTTAAACGAACCTCAAAAGATATGGTATATTTTTTTCATAAGATTATGATTTCCGATTTTATGCTTATTTTTCGGACATAGGGGCTCATAGGGGCTTCCAGAATGCCCAATGATATTTCGATCCATAGGCTATTTTTCTATCAAAAGATAATAATTCTCTCTCCTGTCCCTTCCAACAATTCACTCACAGAACTCTTGCCTCTATTAAAAAAAGTTAGAAGGAATCATCAAAGCATAAAAATAATGGCTTACTACATTCAAAAAATGAGAAGAAACATTTTATTTCGGTTCCTCAAAATACTGTAATCTCAGTTATCTGTGAATTTTCCGATCCATTGGTATTCCTTTCAATTTGTAGCGTTTATTCAGTTGTTTTCTATTCTTTCTAACAGTTCAAACGAGGCTCCAAAATTTTCTGTTTTACTAAAAATGTTTGTGTTAAAAATCGAAAAAAGTTTTTAGTTCTTAGAAGATTTTAAAGCAAGTGTAAATTATTACAAAGTTACCTTTTGGCTTCTCAATCGCGTTCTCCTTCACCCCACACTACTCTTCTCCATCGATGCTGTGTGCTGTTCGCAGCAGAGATTAATCAGGCGGTATTTACAGTGAGTGTCATTGTGTCCATCGGTGAAGCAACCCCCCAAACGTAATCCTTGCTCTTTCCCTTAGCTATATACTAATCAAGCTTTGGAACTAAGAAATCCAAATTTTTAAAGTATTCTTTTCAAAACAAAATATTGTAAGTATCCAGTGAGGTCCATGAAGGAGATCTCCGCTAATCTTGTACACTGCTCACTGCCCCCGTGCAGGTCTACATTTCTGGCTGCAGGTTAAGGTCGAGACCTTTAGTTCTTTGGCAGAACTAAAATCATTCCACTGGATGTTCATTCATGGATTTCTTGTAGGATTGTTCGACGATAATTGTAACTTTCTGGCGCTGATCTCGAAATAAAATCGCTTAGTGATGTTATATTTTTATTTTGTTATTGTTTTAATTTAAGGCACTTAAATTCCATTTTGTTTTATAAATTAACATGCATGTGAGGGGTGGGGGAGGTAGGGGAAGGCACTAAAGCATGGGACATTCCCCAAAGTAAAAAGAGAGATAACGAAGAATCTCTGCCATTAAGGCGCACTGCTGGATACCCTGTAAATGGGGGGCATCCACACAGCTGTTAGTAGCACATGAGACATTAACATTAACAATTAATTAAGGCATTGCTTTCGGGCGGCGGCGGCGGGGATGGGATCACTCGCTGCAGGAATCATATTCGCTTTCGCTCTTTTTGATCTTCGTCTTGATGCTCCCTGAGGTTCCTGGTGTTCCCGGTGTCGTGGTGGTGGGCGATGCCAGGGTATTGTTGTTCAGGGAGGAGCCACCACCACCAATGGGCTTGTGGTAAGTGCTAGGCGGACTATCCAGACAATCGGATGAAGTGCAGACACGCTCTTGGATGATGAGCTTCCACAAACGCACCTCAATGCCAACGCTGGAAGAGAGAATATAAATTTAGAAGAGCTTCGAATGAGAGGTATCTAGGCTATTCCCACCGCAATCCCAGACGCATGAGATCCAGCTTTTCCATATTGTAGATGAAATCCTCAAAGGTGAAGCCCTCATTCAGTATGAGTGTCTTTGAGAACTCATCAATATCCTGCTGCGTTAACCACTGCTCCAACTGCTCGTCTATCTCGTGCAGACCAAAGTTGTGCTTGTTAAGCTGTCGCCTGGGATTCCCAGAGAGTGCTGGACGTGCTCCCCCGGCTGCCGCTGCATTGGGACTCATTCTATGGCACTTTTTGTTGAATCCATTGATGGTGCGTCTACGGAGGGAGATTCTTTGATTAGATATACATTAAACAGCTCTAAAACTCGCACCTTAATCTCTTCCTGCCGCCCATGTAGATGTGGGCCAGCTCCTGGCTTATGTTGTGCAATGCCCGCATGCTCTGGCGCTGCTGCTCCATCATCTGGCGCTGCAGCTTGTGCTGATTCTCACGTATGTCGCGCAATATGCGCACATACTCAACAGAACTGTGGAGTGCCCCATCGTAGCCAGAGTCCGAGGGCAGCACGCCGCCAGAACTGATGGAGGGGAGGACTTTCTCCAGGCACTGCTGCTTCTCCTGACTGTCCGAGGATCCTGCATGCTGCAGCGGTGAGGTCTGTACGCTCTCATCATCGTTGCCAGATATATCCTTGTCCGCCAGGTTGGCCCCCAGTTCCGGTGAGAAGATGGTGACGGCTGCCTGCACCGCACGCTTCACGAGATTATCTAAGGCGAACATCCAATGCGGCTTGATGCAGTGGTACCTCAGCACACAGACGACTACATCCTGAAAGGAGTACAGAGCCAAATGCAGATGATCCAAGGCCACTGCATCGTTGTTTAGCCTCTGCTTTAGCTCATTGATCGTTGCCTCCAAATGCTTCTCATTCTCGTTTATAATGTAGTCCCTTAATCCGCGTATCAGCACCTCCAAATCGCTCTTCCGGATGGCAATTGAATTTTGATCCGCGTCGATTTTCTTCAGCCAAATGTCACACATCTTGGACTCATCCAAAGCGAGGACTTTCGCTAGAGTGGTGCGTCGCTGCGAGTCCTTTTTCAGCCTATAAAAGCCATCCGTTTCGCTCGTCTCACTGATGCTAGTGCGCAGCGATGGCGTAGAGGGTTCAATCTCGGGAGAGAGCAGAAATCCGGAAGAGTTGCGGCGTTCCAGCAGGCTGGGCAGCTCATCAATATCCACAGAAGATGAGTGAGTAACGCTAAAGAGAAGCTCACACATTAGATTGGCTGTGAATGGGGATTGGGTGTGCGACTTACTCCAGTTCTGGTGTGGTGGGCGTATTGTGGGTGGTATTGTAGGTCAATGGAGCCGTCGTTTTATTTACCAGGCGATCCGCTGGCACCGAAATGCTCCTGCCAAAGTCCGTATTGATGGGTAAGCCAGGTCGCGGCTTGCGTGGTTTGCTGCACCAATCAAATGAGAATGTTAAATCAAGGAATAAATCAATGACTGCCCCACTTACTCAGCCAGGAAGGGATCCTCCAGCAGCTGCGAGGCCGATGGTCTATCCAACACGCTTATGGCAAAGCAACGCAAAATAAAGTTCTTGGCATTCGTGGACAGCTCTACGGGTATATTTGGATGCTTCTTGTGGTACCCCACCTTGAACATGGCCGCCTGGGCGCAGCCGAGCTCAATGAACGGCGGTTTCCCGGTGGCCATCTCCACATTTGTGCAGCCAAAGGACCAGATATCTGCCGCCGGGCCATAGCCTCGCACCCCCTGATCAATCACCTCGGGCGCCATGTACTGCAGGGTCCCAGTGAAGGTCTCCGTCATGGGATTGATGCGCGCGAGTCGCTTGGAGGTGCCAAAATCGGAGATCTTGACGACACCACTGTACGTGTTCACCAGAACATTGTCGCCCTTGATGTCGCGATGGACAATGTCCTGCTCGTGCAGGTACTTGAGTCCCTCCAGTATCTGCTTGGAGTAGAAGGCCATGGTGGACTCGTTGTCCTTGAGCGGACCCCATTTGGTCTCGAGCAAATCGGATAGCGATCCTCCCGGCACCTGCTCCATGAAGATCTTGAAGAAACCATCCTCCGAGCGTGAGCCCAAATACTGTACAATATTCCGATGACGCAGCTGCGAGTGGAGCTTGATCTCCTCGTGGAGTGGCTGCACATCCTGCGAGTTTTTCTCCGGCACCTCCTTGATGGCAATCCGCACTTGCGTTTGCTTATCTCTGGCGGCATACACTGTGCCGTAGGTGCCCTTGCCCAGGACCATCTTGCGATTCTGCTCATCGTAATCGTATTCGTACTGGAAGAAAAATTGGGATAACAATTTACTGGTGGTTTTTAGGGGAACCTAACCTAATCTATCGATATCGATAATTATCGATATTTTGCGATAATATTCGATTACCTATCGAACCTTAAATGATTACATATTCTATCATTTTTTGACCATTACATAATTTATCGATGAAATTTGATCAGAAAAAAATCACTTTAGCACTCAAGACTCACCTCTATTTGTGCATCGTCATTGCTGAGATTAACAAACACCTCCTGATCGGCCGTCATTTCCAGTATCAAATCGTAAAACTTTTGACGGCACTCGGACGATGGAAAGTAGATTTGAAAGTCATCCGAATTGTGATGGACATAAAGATACGCGCAACGATCATCGCGCTTGTACAGGCTCACGGATTTGATTTTCGAGGCCACAAAGATGAAATCGTGGAGCTTCTTGCAGGTGTTCTTTGAGTGCGCCAGACAGATGTTCACAATCTGTATGGATTTCTCATCGGCATCCATGTTGATGGTCACATAGCTGGGCATATAGATCTTCTGTGGCTCGAGGATCTATCCGGAAAGGGAGAGATTATCGAAGATCTTTAGATGATACTCTTGAGACACTCACCAAAATTGGAAATCGTATGCTGTTCTTAATCTCCTCTGTATTTGTGGCCTCCAAGAAGAAATCCATCCAGAACTGAAAAACCTGCTCTTCGATGGGGGGCATACGATCCTCGGGCTTCTTACGGAACCTATGGATCAACGAAATGTTGCCAATCGTTGACTTTAGATACCAATTGGGGGGCTTCAGCTTGAACATGCATTCGGCCGCCTGAATGGCCTTGGCATAATCCTCGGCCAGCACAGAGATCTCAAAGAATGTGGCCACATCCCAGTATTCGCTCAGCGTCGAGAGGCTGCCCTTTTTCCCGATGAGATTGTTCAGGGTCATGCCAATGTGCTGCAGTTCCTCCGTGTTGCTGAATTCCTTGCCCTCGATGACCAGCAGAGTGGCCAGATTGATGCCCGCGTACTCATTTGGCTGCACTTCGAAGCTCTGGCGGTACCATTTGATGGCATGCGCCAGACTGGTGGCGTCCGTGTAATCCGACTCCACAAAGATGTCCTTGTAGATGCGTCCGCACAGGCACAGCATGTCCGGGAAGTGGTTCTCCTTCTTTTCGAGGGCTTTCAGTGATGACTCCAGGGCCTTCTCCCTATCCCCCTTGCGGTTTCTGCGATTCAGGGCAAAGGCATAGAGGAAACTCATGTTTCCCGCCTCCACAAACTTGCGGGTGTTTGGTATATTCTTCAGATCATTCACCAGCCGCACCATGGCATCGTAGTCCTGCACATCCCTTAGCGAGCACATAAAACTGTGCACCACCTCGCCGGACAGTACATGCGGATCATCCAGACGCTTGCGCATCTCATGGAGTATGCTCTGCAGCTTGGCTCCATTGGTGGCATACGTATCCCTGGCTGTCCGCATATCGCTCAAGAACTTTTCCCTCATGTGTGCTCTGAAAAAGAGTTATGATTAGCAGCAGAAACTAAACATCCAGACAGACATCCACTTACTTTGATTGGATTTCTACATCTTGAAGCTTTCTACGGAGACGACCTTGCAATGTGCTAACGCGTCCGTCTCCGGGTTGATCTTTGCTATTGGGTTGATTGGTCAAAAGACAGCTGTTGCTCTCTGCATTCAGTTTGTAGCTGAGAAACAAGTAATTTCCACAAGAGACCTAATGGAGAGAGAGGGAGAGGTGTACACATTTTAATGACCGCCAGTGTAGGTGTGCCCGTCAGTGTTGGATGTTTGCGTGGGTGGGCGATTAAAAATAACAATAATGCGAGCTATATAGTCACCGGAAATAGAAAAACAACAAACAATCTCGAGGAAACATGACTTGTTGCTGCCGTTTCAAACACATATTGCTTAACATTTTTATCTTATCGGAAATGCCCCCGTCGCTCCGTTGCATCATTCGCAGTAAGATGTTTGCGGCTGGACTGCCACAGAGGGCACACAGGGCACACAACACCTCTCCCAGTCCCAACACCAACCTCAAACCGAGATAATACACACCTTAAGGCTGAGCGTCTGTTTGGATTCCACATCGTTGTAGATTAAGATGATTTCCTTCATGCCAAAACTCTCCCGCACCCCATAGTGATACGAGAGCGTTCGCTGCTGGGCCAAAACACTCAAATCTATCACCGCAACATCGGCATTGTAGAATGTTTCCATCACATTCGATTCGCCGAAATCTAATTTCTCAAACTGCAAGAAAACGGCACCAATTTGGTTTCATTTTATACGTAAGGAATTTCCCATAGGTCAACCAACTCCCACCTGGACACGCTGAAAGTTAGCCCCGGCCGCCTGTACGGCCCGTTTGACCTCCTCCAGGGCACAGATGCGATCTTCCAGATGATCGCCCACGACGGTATCAATTACACAAACAACGTCCATAGCTGCGGGCTATTCCTGGCACCGATCGACCGATGGCTGGACGGATGGATGGACGGGGGTCTTGCTGCCGCAATCAGGGCGTATTTAAGGTACTTTCTGTTGGCCGAAATCGCGCACTTCAATTGTAAACACCTTCATTACCACATACTTGTGGCCATTGCATTGTGTTAATTGCCGTGCAACGAAAAATAAATCAAAAATCGAGAATTATCAATAAATAAAGAAATTTGTAGAAATGTGACTTTCGATAAAATATACCGTCCAGCCTTAGGAATATACCGAAACATTTAAAAATATATACCGTAAATATACTGACGAGCTAACGTTCTATTTTATATATTCCCCGTTTTTGATATTCCGTAGAATATTACCATCTATATAGAACATTTAGCAATGCCCACATAGTTTTATACGCTTTTTGAATCAATTTTCTACTTAACTGGCTTATTCTAAATACTTGCTTTTATTGCATTTTGCGTACAAAAAGGTTTTAGCGAAAAAGGTCAAATATAAAGTAATAAAACGTAAGAGAAAAATCGTTCCAATTGCTCAATTTCTTTATTCCGTTGTATAATGCTGCCTAACTAAAATCCACATAATTTTAGGCCATTAATGAATACATTTTCTACCTGATTGACTACTTTTAAGTACTTTTTTTATTGTATAGTGTATAAAACAAGGTTTAAGCAAATAGGTCAACAAAAAACAGTGGTAACGTAAGCGTATAGTGTAGGTATACCCTATTTGGTTAATATAATATGAAGAAACTGTTTTAAAACGTAATTTGTTAAGAAATTAAGTCAGATTGTTATGTTTTAGACATATTAATGCATATGATTAAGGTCTTGAAAGTATATCTCGATCCCGATACCCGTTCTTGGTTTCTGTAAGAAGACCAAAACCTTCAAAATATCGTTGAAATACCTTTAAAACAGAGACTGACCAGTTTCTGCATATAATGGAGCCTGAGATGACAAAAATTTTCTCAATTCTATAATATCCATTTCCACAGGGAAATGGCACAATCCGCGCCATGTTGAGGAATAATTGGAACTTAAGTCCTTATTTAATATTTACATACATATAAGTATTATAATGTAAAGCATATAGATTATGTTTTGTAAGAATATTTAACAAAAACAGGAAATATAAGCGTAACAAAAGAATTATTCAATAATATAACAAGTTCTTAAGTGTTTTCTAAATAAATGTCATTTCATCATTAACCAGCAAAAAGCTTGACAAACAGAAAATTAAAGACGCAATAGAAATCGGACACAATCAGGCATATTGCTGTTGTTCGACGCCTTTTTCGCGTATCTCAAGTTAAGAACTTTCGTCAAAGCCTTTTCTCCTTCTTCTTGGAGCACCCTTGCTTATGTTTCTCGTAAAGACGTTCGCCACTGTGAATATTACGAAAATGGTGCTTTAGCGCGTAATTATCTCTATATTTTTTGTCGCACTGCGAGCAATCGAAAAGTCCTTCGCCAGTGTGGGCCCGAATGTGCTTAACCAGAGAATACTTGCGAATAAATTTCTTGCCGCAAGTCAAGCACCCGTAAGGACGTTCGCCAGTGTGAATACGATTGTGCTCATCTAGGTGAATCTTGCGCGTATATTTCTTCTCGCAATACGTGCACTCGAAGGGACGCTCGCCAGTGTGAACACGCATATGCCTAGTCATGTTTTTATACGTAAATTTCATACCGCACTCCTGACACGTAATATTCCGTTTTCTGGTTGGGGATAAAATACACATTAAGACGAAAATCCATAATGGAAAAGATGGACTCACTTTGGTAAGCATTCGGTCGTGCAGTCCTTTTTCGTGGGGTTTGATATAGCAGGTTCGGGGTCAGTGAGCTTCATCCTGATGTGAATAAAAAAGTATTTAATGTCTATTTAATCATTCGATGATTGAAAACCTACATCTTTACCAATGGTGGACTGTCACTGCAGGAGAGCATTTCACAATCAATCTCCTCGGAGTCCGAGTCGATCTGTTTCGTGGCACTAGGGGGCGTACCTCCTTGGCTACGCTCCAGTTGGCCTTGCTCACCAGCGTGCTCTTTACTGTGGATCTGCAGATAAAGTATCTCGATGAATTCTGCATTGCATTCTTGGCATTTAAACATGCCAACGTCGCTGTGTTTGACACGGTGCTTCATCACCTCATCCATGTTCGGAAATGAGTGCGGGCAACGCGTGTACTCTAAGGCTGCCATTGGAATGTCGTCCTTGGTATGTCTCAATAGACTGCTTTGACCATGTTCATTAAAGTGCTCTTTACTGTGGATCTGCAGATAAAGGATGTCGATGAATTCCGCATTGCATTCTTGGCATTTAAACAGGCCAACGCCGCTTTGCTTGACATGGTGCTGTATCGCCTCATTCATGTTCGGGAATGAGCGCGTGCACTCTAAGGCTGCCAGTGGCATGTGCTTTTGTTGATGTCTTCTTAGGCTACGTTCGTTTACATAAAAGCGTGAGCACTGGGGACATTTATGGCACGTCTTATTAATGTGAAATTCGAGCTTGTACTGTGAGTCAAAACATTTATAGCATTGCGGACACAAAAGTTCTGCGGTACTACGAATTTTTCTGGGACAAATGCTTTCCGGACGGTCATTGTTGTGGTCTTCTAGAGTCTTATTTTGCTGCGACGGTCTACGATACGTGTTCTTACTTCCAAGAGGCTTTATTTTGCTCCTTTAATGAGAAAATTAGCAATGATTCGGTTTTAGAAGCCAAGTACTTACATTTCGGCCGTCTGGTTGTTCTTGTGACTGGTGGTATGTCTTTTCAGGTGGTACTCAGTTATGAATCCAGGCACACTCGGCACACTTTCGCCATCCGTGGCACTTGTTTTTTGAATTCCGGCAGAAAAGATGAGTCCATGCGCTTTTTGATTTCCGACTGCAGGCCATATGCTCAGCTGTAGCTTAAAACGGTATAAGGGGTTAAAGTATGCCAGTTTCTACTATTCAAATTATACAAAAGGCATCTATAAATCTTGTTAATTTTGTATGATAAAAGCACAAACTAACGCACATGGGAGGTTTTTTAATGCATTTTGTGGATGGTTTTTGTACGGTCTTAAAACTACGCGCACTTTTCCAAACAACACTAAACAGGTTGGCAGCACTACACCACTCAGCTGATTGGTGATCATTTGGGCGATACAGTGATCAATGTCACATTACAGTAATTGCGGCGCGAATGCAGGGTGCCTATCGAAAGATTCAAATTGAAAGTGCACTTCATGCACTTCAATAAGGAAACTGTAAAGCTACAGCTTTTTCACTTCCTGATGAAATTTGACTGAAATAAAAGGACAAATGGACAAATAAGAAGCACAATTTTTTGTATACAAAATATTCCACATTTAAAAACGTTTTACTTGATTAAAAAACGATCGGATCTTTTCACTTAACTAGCGTACTCCTTGAGAATGGAGCCTGCAATAACCAAACGCTGAATCTCAGAGGTGCCCTCGTAGATCTCCGTGATGCGAGCATCGCGATAATGGCGTTCCGCTGGCATATCTGCGACATATCCCATTCCGCCCAGAATCTGAATGCATTGGTGGGAGCACAAGGTAGCCGCCTCAGAAGCTGCCAATTTGGCCATTGCCGCCTCTTTTGTATACGCCTGCTTGTTGTCTTTCAGCCAGGCGGCACGCCAGGTCAAGAGTCGCGCCGATTCCATTGCCAGCGACATGTCGGCAATCTTTTGTTGAATGGACTGCAGTTTGGAGATGGGTTTTCCAAAGGCCTGACGCTTCTGAGCATAGTCCACAGCCAGCTCCAAAGCGGCCTGACCAATACCCAATGCCTGGCCGGCAATCCCAATGCGTCCGGCATCCAATGTTTGCATCGCAATTTTGAAACCGAATCCCGGCTCACCCAGCATGCTGTCCTTGGGGATTTCGCAGTCTTCGAATATCAGCTGGCACGTGGAGGATCCTCTGATGCCCAGTTTGTCCTCCTTCTTGCCCAGCGAGAAACCTTTCAAGCCTTTAGGGACAATGAAGGCAGAGATACCTTTGTGTTTCAGCTGCTTGTTCGTCGTGGCAAATACCACTGCTGCTCCCGCCTCAAAGCCATTCGTTATCCATGCCTTGGTTCCATTGAGGACATAGTGATCCCCCTTCTCGGTGGCTACGGTGGAGGCAGCACCGGCATCCGAGCCATTGCCCGGCTCCGACAGAGCAAAACATCCAACTCGCTCTCCCGTCGTGTATGGCGTGATGAAGGCTTCCTTCTGGGCGGCATTGCCAAAGCCCAGTAGTGGACCGAGATACAGGGAATTGTTGACCGACATGATGACTCCAGCAGAGGCACAGCCGCGAGAGATCTCCTCCATGGCTATCGCATACGCCAGATAATCCAATCCAGTGCCACCTGTTGAGCCAGAGACAACCTGTAGCTTCTATAGAGGGCTTTTCCCACAGTAAATACCTAGTTCCTCGGGTATGGCAACCGACATGACGCCCAGCTCCCCCATCTGCTTGATCTGCTGCGCCGGGTACAGATGCTCTCGATCGAATTTCGCTGCATTTGGACTCAGTTCGGCGTTGGCAAAGTCGCGGCAGGTCTTCTGCAGCATCTGATGGGTGTCGGGGAGTGCGGCAATGGAGGCGATCTGTCGCATCGGCACGGATCTGCGTGCTGGGGGAGAGCATTATCATTAAAGATCTTGCATATAAAAAGCCGATTCGACCGATCGAGATCAAAGTCCATGGGCACTTCAGCATACCTATATTCAAGGAGCGGCTGAGGACAGACTGCATGATGGCTGCTGGTTATATTTTCAACTAATTATAATTTTTAAATATTGCATAAAACCAGTCTAAAAACGACTTAAAAACTTGTTAATTAATTAAAATTAAAAATAATTAATGTGACCAAAGCGAAGCAACAGATTGTTGTTATGGTATTTTTTGCCGATAGGTTGCCCCTCAGTATTTTTGTATTTTCTGTTGCTGGTAACACTGGCTCGCGTGGGAGCTCCTTTTATTATTAAAAAAATCAACAAATCGGCAGAAAAGCCAAGCCAAAATGAGCGAGGAGGAATTCCTCGAGATAGAACCGCTCGGGTATGCGACCGACGATGAGGTGGAATGTAAGTACATGGCAACAGGCAGTTGGCAAACGAATAATATGTATCACTTTGCTTTGTGATTGTGCAGCATTCATAGACGTCGAACCCAAAGAACCGATACAAGAAGACAAGCCGGTGAATAAAACCAAACGACTCGTTTGCATGATTGAGGGCTGTAGCTACAAGACGGACAGGAGACGGGATATGCGTCGACACCGTCGTTCGCAGAAGCACATCCGTGACATGGCGAATATTGCCGATTCGGACTCGGATTTCGAGAGACCTTTGTACAACTGCCCCTTGTGTTCGTATACGACAGCGAAGAAATTCTGTTTTGACCGGCACAATATGTCGACGAAACATCGATGCAAGGTGGAGTCACAAGGGGATCCATTACTGAGAAAACAGAAAGTTAAGATATTGCAATCGGCGCGCCGTGACACCACATCATCGCAGGAATCCGATGGAGTCATGTACACCTGTGCGGCTTGCGAATACACAACACACCGCAAAGAATCCTTTAAGCTGCACAAGACGAAGCGAAAGCATCGCTATATAATGGATATCATGAAGCAGAACAATCAAATCATCACGTCCGGACCCATGGCGCAGGGTGACGAAGTAGAATACACACCGCCAGAGTCTGAGGACGAAGCGGTCTTGCCCTGGAATGCGCCGTTTTACTGCGACCTTTGTGAATACCAAACCAACACTCGATATAGCTTTCTCCGCCACAAAAAGTCGAAAAAGCACCAAGCAAGAGTTCAGGAAATCGAGGATATGGAAGAAAAGTCTGACAGTTTACCGGATGCTGACACTTTCGTAACTTCCGAGCCGGAGGTGCAGCAGGAACAGGAGCTGGAGTACGAGGAGACCATTGAATACGATCCTTTGGTGCAAGAGGAAGTGGTGGTGGAGCAGGAACCAGATTTCCAGGAGATCATTTATTTGCCCGAAGGGGAAACGGGCGAGGAGCAACATTACTTCATAGTGTTGAGCAACGACTAGCAGAGCACTTTTTCTGCGCAGATTTCACGCGCACGCACTGGGGAACTTTGTTTAACGTTTTTTATGTTTTTCTCTGCACATAAACTGTAAATTAAGCACAAAAAAATAAATAGAGCATTGAATTATGTTTGAACAGTAACTAACACCACCAGCCCACATTTCTTGAGTGATTTGCACACCGTGTAAAAAAGCATTGCAATAGGAATCCTATTTTGTTGTCTTATTGATTTGCCGTCAATTTTGAAGTTCTTCCCATTTGTTGTTTCTGCCGTTAATTTTTTGTTTGCGTTTTGTTTTCTTTCGAATCGTGTTGCCGCCCGCCGAGGCGAGTGAGTGGTAAGTGGATAATGTGCAACAAATTTAAACATTAAAAGGCGGCCAAAAGTGTACGTGTGTGTGAGATAGAGAGGGAGAGAGATGCAGTAGCATCTGTAGGAACAACAAACAGAACACAACAGTTACATGTTGGTGCACGACGAGAGAGCGAGCGATGTTCTTTTAGTTGAGAATGTGTTCTGTGCATGTTCGTGCAGGAAGGAAGTGGAACAAACAGCAGAAACTTATACAGTGAGCTACCAGGAGAGCGCCTTACCTTCGTGCGTCGTACCTTGTGCCTGCTCTCTCTCTCTCTCTGGCTGGACCCGCTCCCAACTTGCACGATCGCGCCCATCGATTCCGATAAGACGCTCACGAACCTGTCGGCAGTCGGTGCTGCATTCATTCCCCCTTTTTGGCTATAAAAGCGTTGGCCCAACTGGCCACGAGCCAAGTTTTTGCCGTTAGCCGAGTGAGCGAGAAGCTGCCGCCGCAATACCCACCGCCCAAGTGTCAATTCTCTGTGAGTGGCTGCCCTGCCCATCAACGGGTTTTTCCCATTAATTGAACCAATTCTAAAACGGATGTACTCGTAATATTTATGTGGAAATTAAGTGATCAGAAATCAGTGAAGGATCATTAGAAGAATCGTTGGGAATGTGTTGTGCCACAGATCGTAAAACTCTATCAAAACGCGTCACTTTTATCGCCAGTAAACGAAACTAAACGAGAATAAAAAACAACGCTAATCTACTAATAGTCCAAATAAAACACTAGACCAGAAAAATGTTCTATCAAGCCATCATTCGTCTACAATCAGAAAAATTCTGTTGCTTGTTAGGTGTTGTCACATTCTTGATAGGAATACCCTCAGATATGGGTCAAATTTTGGAGGAACACTAATTTTTAAATCCATTTTATAGCGACACATATTAAAGAAGAGAACCGACCAATGACCAGGAAGTGATAGAATTAGACCAACAAAATGCAGTCAATGAAAGCCGATGAGCTGCCGGAGAATCCGCGCGAGACCTCGAATATCTTTTCATCATTGATGTTCTGGTGAGTTTTTTTCGTTTAAATATAAATTCCTAAGTTGAATTATTTATTAACCCCTGTGCTCCCCTTTCAAGCTTTGCCATGCCCACATTTTTCAAGGGACGCAAGAAAACTCTGGATGAAAACGATCTCTATCGAGCACTGAAGGAGCACAAATCGGGTGAGTGTTTAAATATTCACAGATTTCTGACTAATTGAGTGATTTATTTCGGAAAGTAATCCCACAAAAATCCAACAAAAAAGAGAACAATCGAATGTGCGGTGGAGTCCGCCTTGCATAATAAATGGGCTTATACATAATTTATGGCCATTTATAATGATGGAAAGCTTTCAGGGGCCCATTCAATAAATAATCTTTATCTTTTTTAATTTAATTAGGAAATGAAAATCCATTGCGTGAGTGTTTGATAGGAGTTTTACGAAATGAAGAATGAGAACAGAGGAGAAAATTCTTATCAGCACGTATGCAAGCTTATAGTGTACGTGACGTCAGGTGGCACCCAATACCTGGTCAATAGATGGGGCAATCAATTGAAGAGACTTCTCCAGAGACTAATAGGCCAATAGACCGTATCGTATCAAAGTTCAATGTTCATTGGGTGTCATGTTCAATGATCTTAGTCCCTCGTGCTCTGAAGAGCTGAGTAATCCCACAGTGCCATGAAGTGGATCGAATTGGCTGTCGTCGACCCACTTCCTTACTTCTCCAAATGCGGGCTAAAAGGCTATAAGCACCTTTACAATACTATCTCCCTCTTCGCAGACAGCATTTCCCAAATCAAGTGCAGAGACCGACAGCAGGGGCACTTCAAGGTACCACAACCGACGATTACGATTAGATAGGGGTTTAGCATGTGCCCCATCACTGGAAAATGTAGTTTAATGATTCAGTTTCAGGTTTGGGAACATTTTTGGTTATGCCGTTTGAGAATTTGAAGGATCATTTTATGTCCCCCCCTATAAAAGCCAGTTTCATTGAGCTCATTTTGGGTGCCCTAAACGGCGTTCTAATCCTCGCGACAGATAAGATAGTCCCTTGCGGGATATTATGCACATTCATTGAATAAAATAATCACTATCTTTATCTTATATCCAAGCTACGTTTATCGTCTATCATCCTTGAGAGACCTTTGAGTTTTCACACACACTATTTAAATCGTTCGAAACTGTCTCGAGAAATGTGACATATCCCCTGACGCCTGACGAGTGATAACTTTGACAGGCGTACGTTTTGCCGCAATTAATTTGCTTTTCTGCCTAAATATAATTGATAGCATGCCCTATACTCCTCTTAGTTGATAGGGAGATACTATACATATATAATACAATTAGCTATCTCTGTGGTTTATATACTTATTCCTAGAGATAGATAGTCCGTTGAGTAGTTTGGCTTGCGGGACTTATGCAATGGCGTATATCTCTGGGAAATGAATGATCATGCTTGATATGCCATTAAATAATCTCCTTGGAATTTTAATCCTTTCGAGGGCGAAGCTTTCCGGAAGTTCCATATATAAAAGGTATTCCCACTGATTGGTCATATGGTTCCCTTCCTGATAGAAGCAGCTGGCAGGTGGTCGGGATTTGGTTTTGTTGCCAGCCATAACTCACGATTGGAAGCCAGATCATAGGCAATGGAGATTCTACAACGTGGTATATGGCAATAAACAATGACTTTTAGTATCAAAGATTAGGTAGGTAGTGTCTATAGTTCTTAATCTTTGGCTATTGTTTTAAAATCTTTCAATGGATTTAAGCTCCATAGATAACGATTACCCCTTACCCCTTGAGTACAAATAAACCCATTAATATTATTGTTTTTTTAAAGAAATCTAATAGAAGGTTTAGAAATTCCAGAAAAATACTAAATAAAATACCAGAACATAGCTTTAAATATAGGAAAAAGACAAGGTAAAAAAAACATGTTCAAATACCATAAAAACACCCACCAAATTTAAACAGAGACTAAACAAATTAAATTTCCAGATGGCGAATTAAGTTCAATTTGCATTGAAAAACGGTTCGGTTTTCCACACATTTCGGGTTCATTTGTAGTTTTCTTTATCATTTATTTTTCTTAGATAGACCTTGTTTATGGCTTTCGGGTATACATATCTCATATCTGTACGTGGCATCATAATAAACAATCTGTCGCATCTGCCAATTACAAAACCGAGCACAAAGTAAACTCTTTTTCCGACGTTGTTTGTTATCGCGAATAATTTATTGAAACCCCCTGCCATTCCATCTTTTTGGAGTCTATTTTTCTGATATCTTAATCTTGTATGCCCCACAGACACATTGGGCGCCCAGTTGAGCGAAGCCTGGGAGCGGGAGGTGGAGAAGAAACGCAAAAAGAAGAAGACACCCAGCCTACTGAAGGCCTCCGTGGATGTTTTTGGCTGGCGCTTGGCGGGACTTGGCGTAGTGCTGTTCATACTGGAGATTGGTTTCCGGTAAGACCACGCCCACACGCACACACTGGAGAGTTATTTATGATCCTTTATTGTATGATTATTTATTTACAGCGTCACTCAACCTCTTTTCCTGGGCGGCCTGGTGGCCTTCTATGCGGATTCGAGCAACCAGGAGGGCGATGGCGAGAACCAAACGAAAGCCTATCTGTACGCCTTGGGCGTGATCTTGTGCAGCGCCTTCAACGTCTTGCTTATGCATCCCTATATGCTGGGCATGTTCCATCTGGGCATGAAGGCCAGGATAGCCATGACAAGTGAGTGGAACGAGCGGGCCCCTACAGGAGGAAGGGAAGCACTTGATAAATGATCATCTCTCTGTTCTCCGTTCCTGTTGTTGCAGGCATGATATATCGCAAGGCATTGCGTCTGAGTCGAACAGCGCTGGGGGACACGACAATCGGACAGGTGGTTAATCTCATATCGAACGATGTGGGACGGCTGGATCTGTCGGTCATACACATGAATTATTTATGGCTGGGCCCAGTCGAGATTGGAATTATCACATATCTTATGTACAGAGAGGTACGGAACATCAACCAAGTAGAACACTCTCATTGTAATCCCTTTCGATTGGTTTATCTCTTAGATTGGTGTGTCCGCTTTCTTTGGCGTGGCTGTGATGCTTATGTTTATCCCCCTGCAAGCGTATCTGGGCAAAAAGACCTCCGTGCTGCGCCTGCGCACCGCCCTGAGGACAGACGAACGTGTGCGGATGATGAACGAGATCATATCGGGCATTCAAGTGATCAAAATGTACGCCTGGGAGATACCATTCAGCAAAATGATCAACTACGTGCGGACCAAGGAGATGAATGCCATTCGAAATGTGAACTATATACGCGGCACCCTCCAGAGCTTCATTATGTTTGTCACACGGATATCGGTGTTTGTCAGCCTCGTGGGATTCGTGCTGCTGGGCAAGCTCCTGACCGCAGAGAAGGCCTTCGTGATCACGGCGTACTACAACATCCTGAGGAACACCATGACGGTGTATTTCCCCATGGGTATCTCCCAGTTTGCCGAGCTCCTCGTGTCGATTCGCCGCATTCAGACCTTCATGCTGCACGAGGAGACCAGAGTGCGGGACAAGTCGGACGATTTGGATGAGCAGAAACAGGGCAAGGCGGCACTCGTGTCGGAACCCATAGCCCAGGCCACGGGCGTCCTCAAGCCCAACAGTCGTCGCACCAGCGAGGCAGAGCCCACCATCAACATTAGCAAACTGAAGGCCAAGTGGGATCAAAAGAGCAACGAAAATACACTGGACAACATCACGCTGAAGTTCAAGCCCCGCCAACTGGTGGCAGTCATCGGTCCAGTGGGTTCTGGCAAGTCCAGTCTCATTCAGGCGGTTCTGGGAGAGCTTAATCCGGATGCGGGCTCTGTCAAAGTCAATGGAACTCTATCGTATGCCTCCCAGGAGCCCTGGCTCTTTACGGGCACCGTGCGACAGAACATACTCTTTGGCCTACCCATGGACAAGCACCGCTATCGCACTGTGGTCAAGAAATGTGCCCTGGAGAGGGACTTCGAGCTGTTGCCGTACGGCGACAAGACGATTGTGGGCGAGAGAGGAGCCTCCCTCTCGGGCGGACAGAAGGCGCGCATTAGTCTAGCCCGAGCGGTGTACCGAAAGGCAGATATCTATCTGCTAGATGATCCTCTCAGTGCTGTGGACACGCACGTGGGACGCCACCTGTTCGATCAGTGCATGCGCGGATTCCTGCGCGAGAATATCGTACTCCTGGTGACGCATCAGCTTCAGTTCCTGGAGCAGGCCGATATGATTGTGATCATGGACAAGGGCAAGATCAGTGCCATGGGCACCTACGAGTCGATGTGCAAGAGTGGCCTCGACTTTGCCCAGATGCTGACGGACCCAAGCAAAAAGGACGAGGGTGCCAGTGGCGATGCCGAAAAGAAGAAGGATCTGTCGCGGCAGAATAGCAAGCTGCGCGATCGTCATGGCAGCATCTCTTCGATGGAATCGGCTGCCGAGTCTCTGGTCGTGGACTCGCCCATGCAAACGCAGGAGGCGCGCGTGGAGGGACGCATTGGCTTGTCGCTGTATAAGAAGTATTTCGGGGCCAATGGCTATGGTCTGTTTATTGTGTTTGCCTTCTTCTGTGTTGGTGCACAGATCCTCGGTTCGGGCGGTGACATTTTCCTGTCCTATTGGTGAGTAAAATCAGCACGAAGCCAGGAAAATCAAACATTAATGAATAATTCTTTCAGGGTCAACAAAAACGGTGAAGCAGAGCGGGACACCTTTATGGCTCGTCTGCGTCGCGCTTTTCCCGAAACGCGCATCAATTCCGACACAGATCCCAAGGACATCTACTACTTTACGGGCATCAATGTCTCGGTGATTGTCTTCTCGCTCGTGAGGAGCATGCTCTTCTTTTACCTGGCCATGAGGAGCTCCACAACGCTCCATAATACGATGTTCAAGGGTGTGACCCGCGCGGCAATGCATTTCTTCAATACGAATCCCTCTGGCCGGATATTGAATCGTTTCTCCAAGGATCTGGGACAAGTGGATGAGATACTGCCTTCCGTGATGATGGATGTGATGCAGATATTCCTAGCGATACTCGGCATAGTCGTTGTCCTTTGCATCATCAATGTGTGGTATATTTTGGCCACCTTCTTCCTGTGTGTCGTCTTCTATGTCCTGCGATCGTTTTATTTGAATACCTCGCGAGATGTCAAGCGTTTGGAGGCAGTCAGTGAGTGGATTTTCGTCCTGCATCTCATGGACATATCATCTAATGTTTCGCTCTTTACAGCACGATCCCCGATCTACTCCCATTTGAGTGCCTCATTGAATGGTTTGGCAACGATTCGTGCCTTTGGAGCGCAGAAAGAACTTATTGCAGAGTTTGACAATTACCAGGATATGCACAGCTCTGGCTACTACATGTTTTTGGCCACCAGTCGCGCCTTTGGCTACTGGCTGGATTGCGTTTGTGTCGTCTACATAGCCGTCATTACGCTCTCGTTCTTCCTTTTCTCCCCGGAGAATGGCGGCGATGTGGGTCTGGCCATTACCCAAGCGATGGGTATGACGGGCATGGTGCAGTGGGGCATGCGACAGTCTGCGGAGCTGGAGAACACCATGACAGCGGTGGAGCGTGTGGTGGAGTACGAGGATCTGGAGCCAGAGGGTGACTTTGAGTCGAAACCGAATAAGAAACCGCCAAAGGAGTGGCCAGAGGAGGGAAAGATCATTTTCGATGATCTCTCGCTGAAATACTTCCCCGACAAGGCCGCCGACTATGTGCTGCGATCCCTGAACATTGCCATTCAGGGCTGCGAGAAGGTCGGCATCGTTGGACGCACTGGCGCAGGCAAATCCTCGCTGATCAATGCCCTGTTCCGGCTCTCCTACAACGAGGGATCCATTGTGATTGACAGACGCGACACCAACGATCTGGGACTGCACGATCTGCGCAGCAAGATCTCCATTATACCCCAAGAGCCGGTGCTTTTCTCTGGAACCATGCGCTACAACCTAGATCCCTTCGATGAGTACAGCGATGCCAAGCTGTGGGAGTCCCTGGAGGAAGTGAAGCTCAAGGAAGTCGTCGCGGATCTGCCCAGCGGCCTGCAGAGTAAAATATCCGAGGGAGGCACCAACTTTAGCGTGGGACAGCGGCAGCTGGTCTGCCTGGCGCGTGCCATTCTCCGCGAGAATCGCATTCTGGTGATGGACGAGGCCACCGCCAATGTGGATCCCCAAACGGATGCCCTCATTCAGACAACGATTCGGAATAAGTTCAAGGATTGCACAGTGCTGACGATTGCCCATCGCCTGCACACGGTAATGGATTCGGACAAGGTGCTGGTAATGGATGCCGGCAAGGCGGTGGAGTTTGGATCGCCCTTTGAGCTGCTGACGACCAGCGAGAAGAAGGTTTTCCATTCGATGGTGAAGCAAACGGGAGACTCGACATTCGATGCGCTGCTCAAAGTGGCACAAAAGGTAGGGCCAGAACATTCTTAATATTTGTCTTTCTATTGGTATTTAATGGTGTATTCTTCTATCTCCCCGAAAGGCCCATGATGATAACTTGCGGCTCAAGAAGGATTCTTGACATTTCGCCGTACCGAAGGCCTTCAAAGACTATATACTTAAGATACTGGAACCAATTACGAATCATCCGGCGGCCAATGCGCGCATACAGAAGACCTTCCTCTTTGCGGAGGCCTCCAAGCAGAAGTTATTAGGATAGCACAGGATACACAGGATACCAATCACTGAATGAATTTTTACTAACCCTACCCCGTACCCCCTACCACATATCCCTCTACAAATTGTGTACAAAAACAAATCAAACTAATTGTTAGGCGAAAAACTAGGAGTTATAGAAATCAAAACAGCAGGACAATAAGAACGAAGGAATATAGTAGGGAGGAGGAGGAGTGACTGTTTTTTATATGTGCAATACATTTAATTTTAGCTAAAAAAAAACAAAACAGAAAACTTTGTGCATTTTCGACCTTCAAAAGGTCGCTTTGCATTTGTATTATGTGTTCCAGTAAAACAATAACGACAATAACTAAAAGAAAAACAAAAAACTTAAAAAAAAAGGAAGAAAAGAGAATTCTATGAAATGTTACGCCTAGTATTAACATATATGTATATGTGTGTGTGTTTTTTATAGTAATTTATTAATGTGTGCAGGTATACAATAAATGTAACAATTTATTTTGTTTTCTCTTCATTTTTGTTTGTTTAACTTTTAATTTCTAGAACTAATGCATTTCGTATATATGTATACACTAAGAAATTTAAACGCATTTAAACGCACACAAAAAACAAACAAAAACGTATCTTCCATTAGATGCCAGGCCTCCTAGAGATTTATTTGTAGTCCTTAAGATACACATACTGATAGATATATGTATGTTATATATATTTATAGAGCTTCAGCGACAAAAAATTCATTATGCATGTTTCAAACCAGGCTTAGGCTTTAGCTTTCGACTTAGATTTTACGTTGCCTATAGCACTTAATCGTAGACTTAAACGTATTCTTAAAATACCAGCGTCAGCCAAGCGGCTATCAGACAGAAGCCTCCAACGGTGGCAAACGGCTGGAAGCGCTTCTCGCCCGTCAATGCACGATAGTACATGCAGCCGCTGAAGAGCAGTGTGCCAGTGGTCATCAAAGAGCCCGTCTACACAGAAAGGGAATATCAATTATAGTCATAGATTAAGTTTAGACGTTAGGCAGGAGTTTTGTGTGTGCATATTTTGATGTTAGCTTTAGTTGTGTTGGCTTTAAAGACCCGAACAATAGAGTAGAGCCTGCAAATGGCGGCTCTCCTACGTTTTACTTATCAAATAAGGCTGATGATAACCACAACAACAAGAAACCCAAACCCCAATAACAAAATGAAAGCCGATGCCTTTTTGGTACATTTTTAAAAGAAAGACAAATCGAATGTAAATTTCCATATTCCTGTTCCTGAAAAACCCCATACCATATCAGATAAATGAACTAAATGAACCTGCATATCCATATCCATATCCCAAAAATGGTATTGAAAATTACTTTGTAAGCTGCAATTAGTGGTTGTTGAACATTTAGCTTTAGCTTTGGAAAACATTTCATATACACAATATACATACATATACATGTACTATACTATATATATAGCAGAGTGGAGTGGATGGAAAACGCTTAGCATAAACCAATGTTTGTTCATAGCTCAACAAGGAATGAGAAAGAATGTCAATCAGCGCACTAGAAGGTCAATTATAAGAGAGAAGAGTATCAGATTAGATTTCCATTCATGTTGTCATTCGAAACCGTAACGCGAGTTGTTGTAAATTCCGTTCAGAAATCGTAAACTTTACACAAAAAAGAAAGTACCGAAAAGCTTTATGAATAAACCAGAAAACACTTCAAAATCCTAATTATACTTTGGGGAGTCCCCTGGAATAAATCAGACTTACGATTATGGGATAGTGGGCCAGTGGCATGGCCATCAGTGCAAACGAATGCAAAAAGTGTATGCGATTGGCGACATCGGCAAAGGCCTGCGAGTCCAGCTGCTCCTTTTCGTTCTTGATCTCCTTCAGGACGTATTTGCAGTAGGCTCCCATGAATATAGCCGAAGCGCCGCCTAGGCCAGCCAATCGCACGAAATGATAGTACCGGCCGGCCAAATTATGCAGCGAGCCAGCACCCGGCGACATGTACTGAGTCATTACCGGACGCACTGTCTGGGTCTCCTTCGGAACCAACTGTTTCGGACGCAGCCCCTGGGAAAAACAACAACGGTAAATGGAATGCCAATGTAAGCGGAATGGAGGATAATTACAAGTGCTCGGAAGATAGCCGATCCCGAATATATAACCGCCTTGCTCACGGGATTGCTGAGGGTGATGTAGTCCAATGTGTCCATCATTTCGTAATTGTATAATTTTAACGTTACCCAGCTGCCGAATTTGCCGATTTGCCGAATTCTGACGCTGAAATTTACAGACAGAACTTTTGACGCTTTTAGGGGTGGCAGAACCTGTGAATTTTGTATCGAAAGCAGCACTGTGCGCGCCTCCTTTGTTTGATATTTTTGGCTAGCTGGGGTCACACTTCCAATTCAATCCGTTTTATTCGATAATCAGTTTTGTTTTTGCCGGTTTTCGCTGCAAATTAAAAAAGAAAAACAACGAACTAAAAAGCAAGTACTGATTATATTTGCTTATCAGAAGAGCGGTGAGTTGGCTGGGGGCGTGACTGAGCCAAGCAACCAAGCAAAACATTTATAATCAACTGTTGTCCAGTTCTTGGGTGGCAGAGCACGGAACAGCAGCAACAATGAAAAGTGCAACTCATTGCGCAGTTTTAATTATCGTCGCGCTTATCGCAGCCAGCAGTGCAGCCGGCGGAGGGGAACAGGAACGCCCCTATAGACGTAGCTTCATCAACCCGTATCCACGGTACAAGTTCTTCGACGATGGTGTCGATCCCGGCGAGCCACTGTTCCTCACGCCACTCATCCATAATGCCTCGATCCCGAAAGAGGATGTGCAGAAGTTGGCCCGCGTCGTGGGCTCTCAGTATCATGGCGTAGAGAGCTATTCGGGTTATTTGACGGTAGATAAAGGATTCAATTCGAACATGTTCTTTTGGTACTTCCCGGCGGAGCAGGATGCAGTCTATGCCCCGGTGGTTTTGTGGCTCCAGGGGGGTCCTGGCGCCTCGTCCCTCTTCGGCCTGTTCACTGAGAACGGCCCACTGGAGCTGGATGCCCATAGCAAGCTGCAGAAGAGGAACTACACCTGGAGCAAGACCCACAATCTGATCTACATTGATAATCCCGTGGGCACGGGCTTTAGTTTCACGGACAAAGACGAAGGCTATGCCAAAAACGAAAAGGATGTCGGTCGCAATCTTCACGAGGCCGTGATGCAGTTGTACGAGCTCTTCGAGTGGAGCAATTCGAGTGGCTTCTGGGTCACTGGCGAGTCCTACGCTGGCAAATATGTCCCAGCGCTGGCCTATCACATCCACCAAGTGCAGAATGCCATCGAGACGCGTGTCTATGTGCCGCTCAAGGGTGTGGCCATTGGCAACGGGCTGTCGGATCCACTGCATCAGCTCAAGTACGGGGACTATCTGTATCAGCTTGGCCTCATCGATGACAATGGCCTGCAGAGCTTCCATGCGGCGGAGGACAAGGGTGCCACCTGCATCAAGAACCACGATATGGAGTGTGCCTTCAATGTGTTTGATTCCCTCATTAACGGGGACCTCACCAACGGCTCTCTCTTCAGCAACCTCACGGGCTTCAATTGGTACTACAACTATCTGAAAACGCACGACAATTCGGGCGAAAACCTGGGAAAATTCCTGCAGGCCGGTGAAACGCGTCGCTCCATTCATGTGGGCAACAAGCCCTTCCATGATCTCGACAAGGAGAACAAAGTCGAGCTCCACCTGAAGCACGACGTGATGGACAGTGTGGCCCCCTGGATAGCCGAACTCCTGGCCCACTATACGGTGTGTATCTACAGCGGCCAGCTGGACATCATTGTCGCCTATCCCTTGACCCGCAACTATCTCAATCACCTGAAATTCCCTGGCTCCGATCGGTATAAGGTGGCTCCTCGTGAGATCTGGCGCATTGGCGAAGAGGTGGCTGGATATGTGAAGCATGCTGGGCATCTGGTGGAGATAATGGTGCGCAATGCCGGGCATATGGCGCCTCACGATCAGCCCAAGTGGCTCTACGAGATGATCAATCATCTCACGCACTACAAGCATTAGCTTTACTTAAACGGGAACACTTGAAATCAGATTTTAAATATGTAGATTTCTATATTTTTAATGATCTTATTTTAAATAAATCAAGTTGAGTTTACGCTGCCGTCGCTCCTTTGTATCCACGCGCCACCAGAAAGTGCTCGGCAGAATCCCCTCGACTGGCGCGAGGCTTCACACGCTTCACCTTCTCGTAGAACTTTAACATGTTCCTCTCCAGCTTAGGCACATCTCCATTGTCCCACACTTTGACCACCAGATTAGCCTGCGGGGCGGACATGGCCAGAGCAAAACGCAAGACCTCGTAGCAGAGATTTGTGATGCTCTCTTGGTCCAGCATTCGGACGCCCGTGGCATTGGGAGCCATGTCGGAGAGGACACAGTTCACCTGACGGCCAGCCAGTGCTTCTCTCAGACGTTGCTGTGACAGGGGGGTGGTAAAGTCCATACCGCCGTATATTGTGGCACCCGGCACGGCATGAAAATGCAACAGGTCGATGCTGAATACTGCCCCAACTGGCGCCCGCTCTATTTTCCCATGTGCATTGGTCCGCTCTACGGCCACCTGGGTCCAACTGCCTGGGGCAGCTCCACAGTCCAGGACAGCATCGCCTGGCTTCAGGATTTTGTATTTGTCGTCAATTTCCAGCAGTTTGAAGGCGCTCCGGCAGCGATAGTTCATCATGCGGGCCTTCTCCACATAGGGATCGGCCAACTGCCGTGTCAGCCACTCCTGTGAGCTCTTGCTCTTGCCCTTGAGGTTGCGCGGCTGCTGTTTGGCATATTTTCCTACGTTATCCGTACGAAAAAGGCGTTTATATAAATAATTACTTAAAAGCGGCCGCATTCTGTAGTGTATCGACCTATCGATAGATCTCATCAGCTGGTACCGATGCTACCACAAAATGAGGAGGTTTTTGTTGACCTCTTTTTTTAAAGCCTCGTTTTACAAACATCGAATGAAAAGGATTATTTAAAATGATTCAATCTTACAGAAAATGTACCCATCAACCGTAAAAAATTATGCTTTTAAAGCTGAGAGTCTTAGCTAGCTAGTAATATGAAACCGAATATAAAAATCGAGTAATATGACTTCCGCCAAATTCGTTCCATTTATCGCACGAATGTTCGGATATTTCTGCAAGACATCGATGAATATCAAAAGTCGCTGGTATTCTGATCTAACGAAAACAGAAAATAAGTGTGAATGCTCAAAATTCAGAAAATTAGTTCCTTTGATTAATATATTGACATTATTGACAAAATGATTCCCATTAGCATTTTCTGCAGCCCAAAAAATATCGCCCGCAAATATATTGTCTTGAAAAATACGTATCGATATATTCATATATCAATAATTTGACATCGCTAATCCTATCCAAGCCCAAAATTAAATATAAAAAGCACGCGCTGCGCCTTTTCCTTCAATCGTTTATGTTTGTGAAGCCTCATAACCGGCAGTTCGAACGTAGCGTTTTCCAAGTCAGTACTAAATCACTAGTTTTGTGAATTTCCTGTTTTCGTGTGTGCAAGTAAAGTAGAAAAAAAAACTCAATATGGTAAGTTGTTTTACACTGTTTTAAGTTAATAGGGGATAAGCAGGCATTTAGATTGAATAAAAGTCAAGCGTCGTGTCGGCAAAGTTTTTGCAAAATGGCCACCGCACGCACGTTCAGTAAAAAAAAAAAGATGACGTCATGCCAAGAAACTAGAGAAAAGTTGTAAAAAAGAAGTAACATGTGTGAAAAGTTGGGAAGATTGAATAGTAATATTATTTATAGCGAAAACCGGCACTTTTCTCTAGTAGTTTCATGACAAATCTTTGGATACAGAAAATAAAACTGCGGCGTCGGCAAAAGAAATTTTTTTGGTATACCATATTGCCGTCTCACTTGCACATACATACATACACATGTGGGGAGATACAGGCCCGCATCATCTTGGGCGCGGCTCTGCAGACTATTGATTTTTGTTGGGCGTGTAATTAATCATCGTCTCGTTTCTTTTCTCTTCCGTCTACAGCGTGAATGTATCTCTATCCATGTTGGCCAGGCTGGTGTCCAGATCGGTAATGCCTGCTGGGAGCTGTACTGCTTGGAGCACGGTATCCAGCCCGATGGTCAGATGCCCTCTGACAAGACCGTGGGCGGTGGTGATGACTCGTTCAACACCTTCTTCAGCGAGACTGGCGCTGGCAAGCATGTGCCCCGTGCCGTCTTCGTCGATCTGGAGCCGACTGTGGTGGATGAGGTCCGCACTGGCACCTACCGCCAGCTGTTCCATCCCGAGCAGTTGATCACCGGCAAGGAAGATGCCGCCAACAACTACGCTCGTGGTCACTACACCATTGGTAAGGAGATCGTCGACCTGGTGCTGGACCGCATCCGTAAGTTGGCCGATCAGTGCACTGGTCTTCAGGGCTTCCTGATCTTCCACTCGTTCGGTGGTGGTACTGGCTCTGGCTTCACCTCTCTGCTGATGGAGCGTCTCTCCGTGGACTACGGCAAGAAGTCCAAGCTGGAGTTCGCCATCTACCCAGCTCCCCAGGTCTCCACCGCCGTGGTTGAGCCCTACAACTCTATCCTGACCACCCACACCACCCTGGAGCACTCTGACTGCGCCTTCATGGTCGACAACGAGGCCATCTACGATATCTGCCGCCGCAACTTGGACATTGAGCGCCCCACATACACCAATCTGAATCGTCTGATCGGCCAGATCGTCTCCTCGATCACCGCCTCTCTGCGTTTCGATGGTGCCCTTAATGTGGATCTGACTGAATTCCAGACCAACTTGGTGCCCTACCCACGTATCCATTTCCCCCTGGTGACCTACGCCCCCGTCATCTCCGCCGAGAAGGCCTACCACGAGCAGCTGTCCGTTGCTGAGATCACCAACGCCTGCTTCGAGCCAGCCAACCAGATGGTCAAGTGCGATCCCCGTCACGGCAAGTACATGGCCTGCTGCATGCTGTACCGTGGTGATGTTGTGCCCAAGGACGTCAACGCCGCCATTGCTACCATCAAGACCAAGCGTACCATCCAGTTCGTGGACTGGTGCCCCACTGGCTTCAAGGTCGGTATCAACTACCAGCCACCCACTGTTGTGCCCGGCGGCGATCTGGCCAAGGTGCAGCGTGCCGTGTGCATGTTGTCCAACACCACGGCTATTGCCGAGGCCTGGGCTCGTCTGGATCACAAGTTCGATCTGATGTACGCCAAGCGTGCCTTCGTCCACTGGTACGTCGGTGAGGGTATGGAGGAGGGAGAGTTCTCCGAGGCCCGAGAGGATTTGGCCGCTCTGGAGAAGGACTACGAGGAGGTCGGCATGGACTCTGGCGATGGTGAGGGCGAAGGTGCCGAAGAGTACTAAACACTTCACACATCCGCACAGCCGGGGCGTCACTGGTGGACGGGGGCCCAGCCTTCGTCGAAACCAGTGTATACGCCCAAAAACGAAGGAACTGGACTGCAACACAAGAAGACACGCTAACAAGAAACAGAAGAAGAAAGAATAACCCAAAAAGTATTCAACACAAAGACAGACAACTCGTATAGTGGAGATGCAAAAAGAAAACTAAATGCGATAAATTGTGTAAAAGAATAAAATCGGCTGAATGCAGTCTGGACAGCAAAACAAAATCTCTCTCGTTGTTTTTCTTTTCCCATCTTTTTTCTTTTCAAACTTTTCCAGCAGCAAAGAGTTCACTGAACGGAGGAGCTATAATTACGTGAAAGCGGACCAGCCGCGGCTCTCTGGGTCTAATAATAGTGGCGCTTTCTAATTTGCTCCATTTCATGCTGCATGGGGCAAGTGCAGACTGTACCAGGACAGGGTGCGGCAAGCACTTACTGTTGCAGCAGGGGGCAGCTGAATTGCTAGGGGGAAGAGTGCATACATATATGTATCGATCCTGCAGTCGCCTGATGAGTCATTTGAGGAGGCCGCATGGGCGAAGTTAGTGTGGGCCGTGGAAGCATAATAATGGTCGTCGTCATAACGACGCCAACACAGCAAAATCATGCGATGACTTCATTTCCTAACTGATATACACACAGATGTACATACTGGTATGCCGCGCAAATGTGCGTGTGCCTTATATGGGGGTTGCTTTTCCAAAAACAAAATTGAAGCCTAGGTAAACCGGCTTGTTGTTGTAAAGGCCCCCAACCTCTGCCTGCGCTGCGGCATTTTCGAGAAGCAGACCGGCAGCTGCTGCAAATGTTATTGAATTTCCAGAAATACACAGGAAATGCAAGAAAAGGGCCACCCAGGCCACTCACATGCACATACACATACATACATACATACATACATATGTACATATGTATACATACAGCCGGCAGAGACCGGCGACCTCGATTGAGGTTATGTGTAATGCCATTTACTGCAGATGTGCAAAGAAAAGCGATTTCCTCTTCTTTGAGACAGGTAAATTACCCAGGACTAATCCTGTCGTAAAATTCACTGAAAATTCAAGGTTTTAAGCCGAATTTCAAGCGGTATTACCAGCAAATGAAGCTGGTTCAGCCGAAATCGAGTAGCAGCTGCTGGCTTTGTGAAGCCAGAGCCAACAAAACAGATTGCGATGCCGTCAGACCATATTTGTGCATAGACTTGAGGGGCCAACCCAACGCATTCAATGATGACGACAAGCCCCAACATCAAGCTTAATGCTGGTGTGGAATAAGTTGTGTGGGATGCCAGTTGGCGCATTCACACAGCAAGGCCCCACACCCACCATTCAAACGCTTGAATGAGTTTTTCCATCAACAAAATGTTTGATCAATAAAAGAAATGGTAAATAAATATGAAAATGCAAATATTTCGCCTGTTTAATACATGCATAGATAAATAAGTACATATGCATGTACATAGAAGTACATAAATATGTACATATGCTCTCTTGAGCCACCGACCTGGTTTTGCAATGGGCACGAGTGAGACAACAAGATGTACTCAGTTTTTATACACGGTACTCGAAGAGTATAGGGGTATATTATATTTGTGGTGTAACACCCAGAAGGAAGAGTTTCCGACCCATAAAGTGTATATATTCTTGATCAGCATAAATAGCCAAATTGATATTTAAATATCAGTCTGTCCGTTTGTCTGACTTGATGAGCGCCTTGATCTCAGAGACTATTAGAGATGAATCAGCCATCCAAAAATTCAAAATTTCGCTTAATTGCATAAATCTAAATATATTAACGGAATACGGGGTAAAAAGTAAACCCGCGGTCCTTGCCGAGTACTTCTACCATGACATTTTTTTAACGATGTGGCATCGCCAAAAGTTGTTTTGAAAAAATACGAGGGCGATTTGATAAGTACTAATCCTCAAAGAAAAAAAAGAACATTGTTGGAAGAGTGGCGACTTATTTTTCAACAGTAAGGCAGTCTCACGTTGAACTTGTTGTCCGGAGTAAGCATACGCAAGCTATTGAGATGCCAGAAATTTCGACATTATACAGGAATGTACCACACAGTACAACTCTTTTGCGATACTGGCACCATCTGGCGGTGAGGCTAAGTACTTATCGGACCAACCTAAAAAAATCTAGTTCCTGTAAACATCAACACTGACATGAGCTAAGCTACCTAAATCATTTTCAAATAAACTAAAAATGAACAGCAACTAACTGAACAAATATTTCTATAAAATACAATCATGTCGTCCAGCAAGGAAATTGGCACGGATGCCCAGGCAAAGGAAGATGTGAAACTAACAAACACCGAAAGCGTCGCGTAAGTTTTGTGAATACTTATTAAGATTCGATTTTTTCTACATTTAAACAAACCCTCGGTAGCCTGAAGGACCTTTTGCAGACACGTCTTGATGAATGCGGCTGGCGTAAACAAGTTGAACAAAATATACGAGAAATAATCGCGGCAAAAGAGCGAGACATGCAGACCTTAACAAGCAAGGAACTGGAAGCCGAGATTGCGCCGCAAGTAGGTGCTTATTCCATTAGATTATATTCTATATAATCATTTTTATATTTCTTTTGCACAGGCCCGCGCCATGGTCCCCGAGTATGTGCGCAAAGAGATGTTGTTACGCGTGCGCGAGGCCTTGGAGTCGTCGCTGCCTCGAAAGTAAAGCCCAATAGTGAAATGTAGTCGTATATTCTTAAATTCTAGCACATGTGTTCCGTCGTTTATTATCTGGTATTTAAGTAGATATTTACATGCTTAGGCTAATTATGAAACTGCGCCACTAGTTGTACAATATGTATGTAATAAATAAACAGCCTAATTGTAATGTAATTAGAATACGTTGTTGCTATATGTTCATGTTGTTATCGGTATGATTGGCTAAAACAAAATTTGTGTGCTTGCTTTTTAGGGGGTAGGGTGGGTTGGCAGTGGGGTAAATTAGGAACGCGGTTTGGGCTCTTTCTTTCGTTGAATTGTTCTACAAAAAAATTATAAGGCTAAATTTTAGGTAATAATTTCGTAATCTTCATTATTCAATTGTTTTTCTCCTCTTTTTTACTTATTCAATAGCGAGTCAATTGAAAAGTCTTTGAATTTGGCGTTGGAATCATCGTTAAATAGCTGTGGTAGCTGTTGCTGCTGCTGCAGTTTTTCCCTTGTTTGTTGTTCATGTTTTTCTTCATCCTGAACAACTATTGTCGTTGTTGTTCCATTGTCCGTTGTTGTTGTTGTTGGCAGCATTTTCATTAGTTTATTCCTTGGTTTTCGCAGAAATTTAGTGTTTATTTGAAATTTTTGTGGTTTGTGATTCGGTTGGGCTTTTAAAAGCGTGGGTGTGGTTGCGGTCACTATTGCTGTGGTGGCTATTGATGCGATTGTGTTTGTTGTGGGTACTAATTGGATTGTATTGCGATAATTCTGACGCCAGCTACGCAGTTCTGTGCTCGGCGATTTCACAACTTTCTGGCTGCCTGTTGGAGTTGGCGCCTCTGCTCCTCCTGTTGCTGGTGTTGCTGTTATGGTGGCTGCTGATAAGGCATTGGGTCCAAAGCATTTTAGAAAATTCTGTACATGCAACAAGCTCTCATTCTCGTCCTTATGCTTGGGTCTTCGTTGTTTGTCCTCGTTCTCATCCTCAGCCTCATAGTCTACCGAAGATTCCTGCTGTGGCGATGAAGAGGAAAACGTGGAAGAGCTGCTGCTGGTGCTGCTGAGCTGTAATTTTGAGTTTTGTTTAGTTAATTTTGTGGGATATCATTCGAATTGATTTTTCGGCTTTACTCACATCATCATCATTTTTATCGCGTAGTTGCTGAAAGCTAAGTGCCTCCGCTGGCTTCGGCTTGCTGTAGTAGGGCATCGTCTTCTGTGGCAATAATTTGCTGTTGCTGTTGCTGTTGCAGCCTCCGCGTCTGGCCAGTATCGGTTTCTTTTTCGGCTGTGGCTTCTGCTTCTGCTGCATTTGCTCACGGTATGACTTTCAGCTGGTTTTGGCGAGGTTATCGTCGCGCCTTAGCTGGGACTGCAAAACAGAGAAACACCCAAATATGAGTTGCATTCCAAGAGGGGTTCCACATATCGTATGGGGTTCTTTTTGTATACAGTAACGATTATCATAGACTTCTCTTTCATCCTGGCACACAAAAAACCACATAGAATTTTGGTGCTATCAGCCCTGAAATGAGATATTTATAATGCAAAAAGGAATGGGGGCTAAGCGGATGGATACGATTTATGTGTGCGTGTGTTTAGAAATTTCTTTGGGGCAATGACTGATTGATTGATTGAATGACTGTTTGTTTGATTCGCAATGAATGCAAGAGATGTGGGGCACATATGAATCATGAGCATAAAATCAAAATTAATGAAAATTGGACAAAGCCTCGGGGGATGCATGGTTTATAGAGACACACACACAACACACACAGAGTTACAGACACACACACATACAGGCGCGCACGCACACAACTACCTGATGATGCGTGCTGTAGAGCGCCGCGTGATGCGCCGCATAGGAGGAGGTGGAAGTGGTGGTGGTGCTACTTAAATCGCCCAGGCCAAGGTTAACGCCATGGCCAATGCCGCCAACGCCAACTCCGCCCACGCGGAGTGGCATGCCCACTGTTGTTGTAAATGTAGTTGTTGTTGTTGTTGATGTTGCACCAGCTAGAGCTGTCGCTGACCCACCTCGTCCAATATTGCCACCAGCCGCCGCCGCCACTCCGCCAGCACCGCCCATGCCCATGCCCACGCCCACACCCACACCCACACCCACACCGAGCATATGGGCGGCGGCAACAGCGGCGCTGGCATGATGCGACGACGACGACTGTTGCTGTTGATGCTGCTGCTGCAAATGCTGCTGTACGACTTGTTGTTGCGACGGATGTGAGTGCTGCTGCTGCTGCTGGTTCTGGGAGGGATGTTGATGGAGGCTGTTGCCTACGCTGCCACTACCACTGTTGCTGTTGTTGTATGCTGCATGGACCGCAGAGACGTGTCTATAGGGAACAGAAAAGAGATTACGAATTAGAGATATCTTTTGTTACCACTTGTCGGGGTGGTGGACACTCACCTCAATCCCAGGCTGGCTGCATTGCTCATTGTTCCGCCCAGAGACATGGGGGTGGTTGTGCCCGAGCTGACATTCGAGGAGGATGTTGCTACTCCGCCTGCTCCTCCTGCCACGCCAGGATTATTGCCCATGCTGCCATTGTTGTTGCTGCCACCGCCCGTTGCCGTGCCCGTGCCCCGATAGTCCAGTACACCGCTGGAGCTGGCCGGCGCCACAGTGGGGCGATTGTTAACCATTGTGGGTGTGGTCGTATTGATAGCTGTGGTAGCCAGGGAGACGGCTGCCGCTATTGTTGTTGCCGCATTAAGGGCACTCATGTTGGAAGCTGCTAATGTGGAAAGGACAGAAGTTGTACAAGTTGTTGATGATGTTGCTGTTGTTGTTGTTGTTGAAGTAGTAGTAGAAGAAGTTGTGGTTGCAGCTGTAAAGCATTTTTTGTTTTTGTTAGATTGTGAGTATCGGTATCTGCCCCCTCCCCCATTTGTTGTGACCATCTTTACCCAAAAATATATTAGTTTGTGTGTGTGCGCGTGTGTATGTGAGTATGTTGGTGGTTGCGGTAATGGTGTGGCATGCAACACAACAAACTTATCAAAAAACTCAAATCGGGAGAGTATAGAGAGAGAGAGAGAGAGAGAGAGAGAGAGAGAGAGAGTAACATTAACCAAAAGAAACAGGATCTCAATGCTCTTTGAATCTTTTTTTGCACAGAAAATATTAGTTGGCAGCACCAACCAGCCAGTGCTGGAAAACTTAAACGGGTTAAGCTTGTTTGAACTTAGAGAAATAAATTTTGAATTTGATTTGTTTTTAAACATTTTATTCATTTTTAAAATAAATAAAATCGAAAATGATTAGTTATTAAGTATAGATACATATACTCGTAAATATATTGGTGTATAAGGTAATAATAAATGTATAATGTTATATAAATGTATATAATGTATAATTATAAATAACTTAAGAGGGTTTTATGGCAAAGAAAAATGCATTTAAATGAGGCAATTATCTGATCATATCTTGACTATGTTATGCAGTGTAGGTAGGTTATATGTAGGTTATATACATTTTAATATGAAGTTTGACTGTTAACTTAGGAATAAATCGAGTAACTTAAGACTATACATATCGATAGATTCAGGTGCATTTTGTATGTACAACGGATACGAACAACAGACAAAGAAATTATAAAAAAATATTCCAATAATAAACGTATCAATTTGGTCTGTTATCAGTGGCTGTGTGTGGGTGTGTGTTTGTGGGATGGATGGATGGCTTGGCACGGCGATCCTCCTCTAGTGCAATGTGCCGTGTGTCATATGTGTGTGTGTGTTTGTGTGCGTGCGTGTGTACCGACACCAAGTGCAAGAGAGATCGGACATTGTATTGTTATGCCTTCTCTACTTACCATGCGCCTCGGACTTGTTGGCGATCGGATTCAGTGGTATCTGCAGGCGGGCATTTACCGCCAGCAAATGATCACGTCGCGCTATCAGGCTGGTCACATGCTCCTCCAAGCGCAGATTCTCACTCTGCAGCTGATGCAAGCAATTTAACAGGGAAGCAACTGCAATTAGGAGGGGATTTATACAGATTAGAAATTCGCTACAGGGCATCCTCAATGCGACTCATACTCACTGTCAAAATGCTGCGCCTGCTCCATGAGAAACTGTGAGCCCTGTTCCCATTGGCGCTCCAGCAGCTGCTCTAAGCTTTGGGGTATCGACATATTGCTATTCATTCCGCCACCGCTAAACATTGATTGCAGTGGATTCGGTGCCGGTGCGGCATTCATGGAGGCGGCGCTGGTATTATTTCGCTGTGATAAAGAGATAAAATATCTTCTTATAAAACTTTTCGACAAAAAGATAAGTTGAAACGTACCTGTTTGCCAGGGAATGGCACTCCCGTGAATTGCGAACTCATGGCATCACTCGTGTAGATGGCATGATCCTGCACTTCCATGTGCAGCTGCTCCGACAGCTTCTGGGCCACACTGCTATTGGGATTCACATGATTCCCCAGCATATGGGTGGCCGTGTGCGCTATGATCGAGCTCGCCGACGCTCCGGACGCTGCTGCGGGTGTTGCCGGCGGCGTTGGGGTACTGATCGGACCACTCGATGAACTACTGCTGGCAGCTCCATTTTGCAGGATGCGCACATCCTTGAGATCTGGCTGATGCTGGACGTTTGTGGCAGCTGCTGCGGCTACTGTTGCTGCTTGTGCTGCCGCCGCTGCTGCCGCAGCTATCGTCGTGTCCTTGGCCTTGCGTCCACGCTTGCGCACATTTCCAGGCTGGGGAGCGGCTACAGCCACAGCTGTGGCACTCAATGCTGCTGTCGTGTGCAACTGCGTTGCGCCACCAATCTCGGATCCTGGCGAACTGGGCGGCGAGTCCTTGATGGAGCTTACCGGCAGCATGGCCACATCCATGAGCTGGTGCTGCGTCTGACTCTCGTACGAGAACTTGAGGCCACCCACAAGGGGCATCATCGATTGGCTCGACTGCTGACTCGTCAGCGTTGTTGTGCTTGGCAGTGATGATGTCGTTGCGGCCGCTGTCGTTGCAAGATCCGGAGTTCTGTTCGATTTCGTTATCGTTGTTGTTGTCGTGGAGGTGGAAGAAGGATTGGTAGGAATCGAATTAGTGAATTGTAATATTTCTAGATCTTCATGCTGATTCTGCTGTTGTGACTGCTGCTGTTGCTGTGGCTGTTGCAAATGCAAAAAGTTTGCCTGAATTGGAGCTGTGGCTGTGGCTGGGACTGATGCTGAGGAGGAGGGTGAGGCAGAGGTTAGATTTGTGGGGGATGTGGTTCTAGCAGGGATTATTGGTGCATATGTCTGTGGTGGTTGCTGCTGTTGCTGTTGCTGCTGTTGGAACAATTGCGTCTGCTGTGCACGTAGCATTTTCTTATTCAAAGGCTTGGTGGTGCCACCGCCATTGCTGCTGCTTCCGCCATAGTTCCCATCCGAAGTTGTGTTTCCCTTGCCAGTTGGCGTGCTCGTGCTCGTGTTCCCAACTCTGTAACCCACTGACGGCACGCTGGTCGACATATTGACGGGGGAGTCCAAAAGGTTTACGACAGGGACACTGGAGGCACCCCCACTGGAGGACATGGACGAGGACGAAGTGGAGGATGAGCTCGAGGATGAGGTCTGATCGCCATTATGATTGCTATGCAGTAGGAGGCTGTTACTGCTATTGCGCGTGCTTCGACTGTTTGGAGGAGTCGGTGTCGTTGTGGGTGCCACGGCGGGTGGCGAATCTATCGAGGATTGCGAGGAGGAGAGCGTCAGCACCACTGGCGATGCAATGCCTCCAGGCAGACCAGCAGCACTTGGCGATTGATGAGGCGAACTATGACGACTATGCTTCTCCGCTATGGCTGTTGTTGCTGCTGCAGCTGCAACATTGCCTGTTGCCGATGCAGCTCCCGGGGCATTGGTTTCGTTTTTATTGAGTGCCGCTCCACGCTTTTTACCCGAACGTCCACCTGATGTGGCTTTGGTGTTCGATGCGTTGCTGGCAGAGCTAGTGACGGGTGCGATGGGGGTGGTCAAAGAGGTGCTGCCTACGCTGGCGGCAGTGTGCAACGATTGCAGCGACGTCAGATGCTGTTGCTGCCCCTGTGTTGGATGGTTTGGGGGGACAACATTCGTGTGGTGGTGGTTCTGCGAGTGATGATGATGATGGTGATGATGACTACTCGTGCTACTGCTCTCACCAGAGCGCGATCTACTTGTGTGGTGTGGGTGGGGGTGTGGGATTCGACATTGTGATGTGATTTTGTGTTATGGGAAGACATTAAGCAAATCGAAGGAGAGATAGAGATTGGAAGAGAAAAGAGAATTTTGTTTATAGATCGCAGCTTTATGTTTTTTTAAATGAAACACAAAAAAGTGCTGCCGCCGCCCGTTTGGAACCAAAAAACCAAGCAAAATGAACATCAGCCCAGTCCAGCCTCCCCGATGCAGTGGTGGAAGGTGCAAAATGATTGATTACAAATGAAACACAGAAGCAGGGAAACAAAACAAGGAACGAAACACACTTTACAGGTAACCAAAGATCAATCCAGGTATGGAGGAATACATCTCTATCGTTTAAGAGTGATTTATAAACTAAAAGGCAGCTTGCACAGGCAAAAACTCATGAAGATACTCGTCGCTAATCCTTCTCGCAATACTCTGCATACCTGCTTCTGCGCGACGTGGCTGGCGGTGCCTCCTGCTCTTGCAGCTGTTGTACTCGCGTTGTCTGCTTCTCGTAGCTGATCTTTAGGTTACCACTCTCTGTGGTAGTGGCCGTCAGATTTCCAGTGGACAGGGCGCCGCTGCCGATGCTGCTGCTGCTGCCGGTGCTGGCGGAGATGATGCTGCCACCGCTATTACCGCTGACTAGGGTACCGATGCCGCTGCCGCCGAGAGCTGGTGATGATTTTCCGCTTTGATGCTGAATAACCGTTGAGGCCGCGCCAACACTTGTTGCTGTTGCATACGCTCCTCCTGCAGTCCCTGCAGTACTCAGTGCTGACTGATTCGCCTGCTGCTGTTGGGTACTGCGTGAAGCTGCCGTCACATGGGGATCTGTGAAGAAAGGATGATTAGTTCTGTCTTTAATCTGTGGATTAAAATAAAAACTTACCACCGCTGGGGTTCGTGGCGGCGCTGCTGCTATTGCTCGATGGCAGATTGATTCCAGGTACATTGGCTGTCGACAGCGGCACAGAGACGTAAAGGCTGGGGGCATTGCTGTTGCTGCTGCCACTCCCACTCGCAGGTGGCGTTGGATTGCTGCTGCTGCTCTCCTTAATACCGCCACTGCCACTGCCACTGCTGCTGTGTTTGCTGCTGCTTCCGCTGGTATTGGCTCTACTCGAATCTGTCTTTGGATAGCCACTGGCTCCCACTCCTGCCGCCCCGCCCACAGCTGGTGCTGCTGCCGATCCTCCTGCTCCCCCTGCTGTACTGCTGCTTGTGGCATTGCTGCTCAAAGTGCTGCTGCCCGTTGTGGTTCCTCCGGCCACGGATGTCACTGCTGCCGTTGTTGCACTCGCTGTGGCAGCTATTGTGGCGCTTATGGCGGGTGCTAATGTGGCATTCACTTCGGCAGTGGCGGATGTTTGATGGGTCGGCGGACTAAGTTCCGTTCGTTGCTGTAAAGAGGAGGCAAAGAGTTTTATTAGTTAGTTTTTTGTGATTCATTTACAAGTAAGTCCACACAGCTGATAAAGCGCCCTCGACAGATAAGCGGGCGATCATAAAAAACGATCATCAAGTGGTTCATATTTCACGTTACAACAGCAAAAGCCATGACAAAATGACTTTGTCAAGGGCTTTGATGAGTTATTAATTACATTGGGGCAGGAAATGATATTTACTAGAATTCCCTTTAAACCTCACTTTTGCCTTTCAAACTTATTGAAACTAAGGCTTTTCCCTCCCAAAAATATAGCTTATTCTCTTTTAAAGTGTATTCATCGTTTCGGTGTGAATCCAATGCCAAACGATTCTCTTTCAGATTTGCCTTTTGGCTTTGCGGTCATTAGCAACATCCGGTGGCTGTGTGTTGCTGGATTTCTGGTAAATGGTTGATGTTTTTTGATGGTGAGACGTGTAAACACATGTTTACAACCAAAAGAATAAGCAAATACAACACAAAAGTACAAAGCAGCGGACAAGGGGGAGACCAGCACCATTAACAGAGGCCTCCTTCCAACAGAAGAGCTGTTAAATGTTAGAGAGTAGATTTTTGATACCCTAGAAGAGAGCATCTAGATTAACAGTAGGATTAACAGCAGTGGAAGAAAGAATAACAGCCCTGTAAAGAGGAGTAGGAACAGATGTAGGGTGAACAAAAGAGAGCAAGGCAAAGCGGAAGGGACTGTGATGGAGGGAGAGGGGTAGGAGTAGCGGGATTCAACGGCGCCGCATGTGTTCCAAATAGATTAAAAGCTGCCAAAGGGACGGACACATTAATGCAACTCAAAAAGCTCTTATCGCTGATGTTGCCTGCTGTTGCTGTTGAATACAATAAAAAACATTCAACGACATGCAACATGAGTCACAGAAGAGTCAAAAAGAATGCAAGGCAATAACAGGCAGCAGCAGCGCTGCATGCAGCTGCAGTAACAGCAAACAACAGCAACAAATGTTGGGCCAAGGCGAGTTTTCTTTATTTTTTTTTTTTCTGTGGTTGGCATATGCTGCACCGCTGCAGCGCTCTCTCTCTGTCTCTATATATGTATCGCGTGTGTGTGTGTGTTTGTGTGCATGTATGGGTGTAACAAATGTTACATGCATCGAATGCACAAAACAATCAAGAGACCAAAAGAGTGGGAGAGAGAGCACAACAACACCCACCCGCTCTCCACTCCACAGCCCAAACTCTCTCCCACTGTGACCTCTCTCTTACTCACTATATCGAAACAGTCTCGCACTCATTATGTGAACAGCTTCTCACTCTCTATGGGAACAGTCTAGGAAATAGAGGGAGAGAGAAATGTTCCTCTCATTTTGTTGTTTGTTTCAATTTTGGGGAGGGATGGGGCTTCCAGCGCTCCATCGTTTTTGCTGCTGCTGTTGTTGCACGTTGTATGTACCCCCATTTACAATGTAGTTTTCGGTCACGTAGGCCAACAAAAACTATGAATGGCGTTGCCACCTGATGACATTTGTTCCAATAGGAATTGTTCCATTGAATTCACATTTGCTTCCAACAAGTTGGCAGCGCCTAGCCCAAGAGCCTGTTGCTGGAGAGACAGAGAGAGAGAGAGTCGCACACGAATGACATTTTAAAAAGTGTCAAATTTCCAACCAAAAGAAACACCTTCATGGCTCATTAGATTTGGGTCAAGAGATACTACAGGGGGAAAACAACAAGGAAGAAATACACGCTACATGCTTTTATGGGTGTGTGTGGTCAAGTCCTTACTTTTTGAGAGTACCTATAAAGAAATGGAGACCCTAAATGCCCTAGAAGATGGATACAATAGTAATATGATATGAATTGTATCAGTTTTACCAGATGTTTTTCTATAAAGCTTAAATAAAACCAATTTTTCATCTGTTCTTGTATGAAATAGTAATCCAAAACAGAGCTCTACCGTTTGCTACACGCAAAAGCCATTCTCTACTCTTGAAATATGAGAAACTAGATGGCATTTAAAAAGAGATTAACAAGTGGACCACTGGAAGACAGACGGTCAACGCTAATCAGCAACAAATGATCAAAGTCTATGGAAGTGTCCGCCCAGCGGGCTTGGGCTTCCCTCCTGTTCTGCATCTGGTCAAACATCTGTTGGGAATTATAATACCCTCTGGTGGTACTGCCGTTCGGGGTGTGATAAAAAGTTTCGTCTACTACTACCATTTCATGGCCAAGTTCCTGCAAGATTTTCGCAGTTTCCCGCATCGTTCTCTCTCACGTATCCCAGTCTCTGGCATTCTCCCTTCGGGGGCAGCTGTCGGACAAACAATGGCGGAGCGGAGGTTTCAGGCGCGCGCTTAGATTATCCTGTTGCTGAAGCTAATGGCCCACAACCCCCAGATCCAGACCCAGACGCAGACGAGGAGCGCAACGCGATACCATGCACAATCAACCCCTTTTTTTTTGGTTTTGTTGGTTTGTTGGGAATTTGCTTCCGCGACACATTTCAACTTTATTTCCAACAAAATTCAATAAGAAGAATTGTCGAGCGGTAGCCGGAAATAAAATACCAACTATAAATATTATATTAGCGTGTGTCTGGGACATTCCCCCATCCAAACATCCCCATCCACTCTCTTCAGAGCTGGTACTTCCCTTTCACAACAATGCTGTGGGTTAATGGTCGCATAAAAGGGTTGTCCTTGTCCCCTTTTTGTTGGCGGTACAGAAGAATTTCGCACAGAAAACATGAGAGACGATTCGTACAACAAATGAACGATAGAACGATAGAATTATTCAAATTCAATTGAGAATTCATTCATTTTGGGGGGCACCATTGTCCCGAATGACAGACAACTGGTGGGGGGGAACGCGAAATATCAAAAGAAATTCTAGAGATTCCAAGGAATTAACAAAAAAAAATGCCTAACAAGGTTGGGAGTACTCGTAAAAGATACCATTATCTTTGGACAAATCATCAAACATCAAGGGGAAGTGATTTATGTAGGATTTCCTGTTGAAATTATTTTTGCGATACTAGAAGCCAGGGAAATCCATATATCTGTTATGGCAAGTGTTTTTTTTCAAGGTCTTCCACCAACAAAGCATTAAGAAAACCTATTTAATTTGTATAATCCCAAACAGAGAAGGGAAGCCATCTAAAGTTTATACAGATATATCTTCTTTGGCTCTAATCCTCCTTAGCTCTCCTTGGAAACACGAAAGGTAAATGAAACAATGAATGCCAATTAAAATAACAAATAGAGCAAGAGTTGAGAAAGACACGACTCGTCGTCCTGGCAGCCAGAGTTCAAGACCTTGTCCTCAGGTAGGACGTGAAACAGCAGCTGTAACCAGATCGAATGGAAGGAAAGGATCAATCAGCCGCCCAGGAAGCAACAGCAAGTACAAAAAACTAAGGGTAGGCTGCTGCTCCAGAGCGAAGGGAAAGAGTGAGCAGCCATGAGGCAAGAGAGGCACAAGATAAAGAAGCATCTTGTGGCAGCTGTCGTAAACTAGGCGCAAATGTGCCAACAACACAGAGGGCTATCCGATCCAAGGATATAGCGAGTGCAAACCGGCCCTCGGCTCACGAGCAATATGTATGTTTTTTTTCGCACTACCTTCAAGGAACAAGAGGCTACGTGATGCGTGGCACAACAGCTGTCTCCCCCCGTTTGGTAGGCACTTACACTAATCAATAATAAAAACTCCCTTTCCGATAAATGTATGCACTCCCCGACAATTGGAGCATTCAGTGTGGATATGAATGCGGGCAGAGGCGGGGCTTGGGCATTCCCCGGGCATAATTGAAGGTGTCTTTCCCCCTCTCTTCACAACATTTCTTTTGTTTTATGTCCGTGTGGCAGGTGGCTTGCTCTCACCGCCTCCAAAGACATCCAAAGTGGTGGTGGTGCAGGTGCATGTGGCACAGCGCACTCAAGTGGCATATAAGCAATGTGGTTAAATAATTGATGGAGTGTCAAAGACATGGCCAATCGAATTTGAAACACAATATGGGGGTTGCTTCCATTACCCGATAGGAATATCCTTTAAAGAATGCGCGATCCTAATGAAGGATAAACATCTTCAGGATTTGGGGGAAAATACAGATCAATCACCAAGATTTGTTCTGGAATGGTGGAGGGGTAGAATGTTGTATCCTTGGCCTTCCAGCCAATATAGCTGAGTTTCAAGTGAACTTTGTAAAGGTAGAAGAACGCCTTCTTTTGGGACATCTTCCCCTGCACCCTGGAGATATTTTGTACTCTAAAAATAGTTGGATATTCCACTGAGTTCTCTCTCATTTCTATCATTCCCTTTAATCTGGAATGAATGTTGCATGCACTTCACACCAGTTGCTACTCCCTTCCCTTCAAGAATCTTCTAGCTCTTTGCTTTGAATGATTTGAAAACCGTTCCAGAAGTACGCCTCCCTTTAAGGATCCAGGAATATCTTTTTCTTGCAAAGAACACTCGCCACATTTATATCTGCCACAAGAAGACAGCACCATCCGCTTCTTCTGCCACAAAAAGACAGCAGGGCAGACAGACAGCTTCCTCCAGGGATTTTCTCGAAATAGATTTTGAGGGATTGGCATGGACAGATGCGACTGCCAGGCGCTCTAGAGTAGATCTACGGCCGTTTCTTACCCCGGAAAGCAGGAAGCGTATTTTTAAATTGTGCGGATATGTGGTGGTGGCAGTGGCTGTGGTGGCTCCTCCGCTGGCGCCGCTGACTCCTCCTGCGGTGGCAGCTCCCAAATAGGAGGGGGATGCAGACGCCGAACCACCCACATATTCGATGGTCGCCGAGGGTGTGGTGGAGGCGGACGAAGGCGAGGACGAGGCGGATGTCGAGTGCTGGCTGCTGTTGTGAAGATGATGCGACGATACCACCTCTCGCTCCCGCTCCCGCTGCTCCCGATCGCGATGCCGGCGATGTTCCCGATGCTCACGATGCTCTCGATCCCTGTGCTTATGATGGCGATGCTCCTTGCCCTCCTT